CAAAATTATCTCCATCTCCCTTCATCAAACCAGCCCATTCCCCACAGTCCCACTCCCCACAGTCATCAATGTAATCCCAAAAATATTTAAGAGCATATTTCACAGTCCCTCCAAAGTTAAGAACCTCCTCAGCTCCAATTTCTATTTGTATCCATCTTTTTAAGGCAAGTCCAACAAAGGAAAATTACTTTCATTTTTCAGATATTTTGTTTCTTTAGAATGCAAAAGGCAACATTGGAATCAGTTTATTTCTCTTCTTTAGCTATCTGTCAAAGTATTCCATTCACAGTCAATGAACCTCTCCAACAATTTCTGTCTCTGACCCCCGTTCCCAGGTTTGAGACGGTGGAAGCTTATCTTTCTTCACTCCCTCTCCTGCAGGCTTAAACAAAAATCCCCCCCCCCTTTTCTCCTGCTTCCAGGGGGGTTTTAGTGGTTATAAATGAAGGAAATTTAGACTTTTTTAACGACTTTCCGGACTTTAGCTTACAAGGTTTTTGCTTCAGTCTATGTACAAAAAGCGGAAGGCGGACTTCCTGTTTGAACCTTCCCGCTTCGGTGCCAAATTAGGGTATTTCTTGATCCAATTTTCCGTTTCTACTCACGGGTACTTGTTTTAAATCCAATTGTCCACAGGAAAAAGTCAGCGCTCTCCGGCAATGGCTGTGCGGCTTCACTCCGTGAAAGTAGCAATCAGTTCGCAGCACCGCGCCGCTCACCCCACTTCACTCCGGAACCCCTGCTGGCCCAGGGTAAGAACTTCAGTACATAACACAGAGCTTTGTTGCTGCTGCCATCATTAGATAGTTGAAAGCCAGAAACATTTGTCAGTCTACTGCAGATCACCCAGAGATTTCCTAGTAGATCCTAATAACGGAAGAGGAACCCTGCTGGATCAGGTGAAAGGCCCATCTGGTCCAGCATCCTGTTCTCACAGTGGCCAACCAGATGACCTTTGGGAAGCCCTCAGGCAGGACATGAACGCAACAGCACTACTTGCTCCTGCTGTGTGCACAAAGAACTGGTATTTAGAGGCATGCTGCCTCTGATTCTAGAGATAGTACACAGCCATCATGGCTAGGAGCCATTGATAGTGTTATCCTCCACATTTGTTCCCCCTAATTGTCTGCTAAAGCCATCTAAGTTAGTGGCCATGGCTGTCTCTTGTGGGACTGAACATAATTTCAGTATGCATAGTATGAAGAACTTTATTTTTTCTGCCCTGCCAACATTCAGCTTCATTCGAGGTTCTAGTATTATAAGATCTACCTTCTGCCCTATCCTACATACACACACACAGCATTTTGCAACAACCTAGAACCTGGAAGTGTTATATTATTCCACTGGTGTTCGGTCCACCACAGAAGGCAGTACATTCACAGAAGTTTAATGTGTTTTAGTGATAATGTTCTTTTGAAAAATCTATAGAGAAGCTATTTCTCCTCCATAGAAAGACCTATATACATCAGATTTAGGGGATAATTACATTCATTAGATTAATGGAAGAAAGCTGAAGTGCTCCTCCTACTCAGTATTCCTATAAATTATAAATAACATTCAATTTGCTGTAACTCCATGGAGGAGACAGTGCCCTTAATCTTCAAATGGATTTCAAGCTTGAGTTTTCATTAATCAGAGGGTGGGGGGGGCAAAGAGAGAGAGAGAGAGAGAGAGAGAGAGAGAGAGAGAAAATGGTTCTTTCCAATGTATTTCATATTTTAGCAAGAAATAGCAAAGGTGACAGCAAGTCTTAGGTGGGGAATAAAAATAAAATCTTGCTGAGGAGAAGCCCACAGAAAGAGATTGAAGATTACTCTAGAGAACTTTCAGTAATGTAATAATATTCTGTGTCAAGAACAGCCTTAAGCCAGTGGTTCACATCTCATTATTTTAGAGGAGAGGCAGTCCGTGGTAGGTGACATTCCGAGATTCAAATCTGAGGGCACGATGGTGTTCTCATTCAGCTTTCTGATGTGGAGCTAAAGTCTCATGATGACCTGCCATATTTTGATTTAGCAAGCCATGGTGCGTGGCTAGAGTCACAAAGACACTGTTTTTTTCAGGCTAATTCCAACACCACATTGGGCTTCTCGCTGATCTCGCCGCAGATAAATGGAGATAAAACAACTGGTGGAATTAAAGCAGCTAAAACTGATGGGATTATCTAGGAGGTAAAGAACTCTAAGCAGAGAAGAGGGGCAGAGAAGGAGCACCTGGGTGTACATTTTCTGCAGCATGGCATTCTTAAATAGACCATGCCCTGACCTCCTGAAGCAATTGGTGTGCATAGCAGTTGGTTATACAGCCAAAGGCCAGAGTGGAAGGAAGCTGGAGATTAGAACTGATGGGGAAACAATATCAACAGAAACTGGAACCAGGGATGTGATGGAATTCATGAAGGCTACTGGGCATGGTTCAGAAGTTCTACTGAGTTCAGTGGGTCTTACTTCAATGGGAATTAAGTCCAGGGTTCTTGAACTATTATGCAGGTCACATAAATATGTGGATCTTTAGGGTGGCCAGAATCAAAAAGGACAGGGCTCCTGCACTTTTAATAATTACGTGGAAATGAAACATACAGGGCAATGCTATACAGTAAGTCAGAAACGTACGTGAGGGTTACACTCTAGGGATCACACCTAAAGCCCAAATTGTGTATGGTCAGAACACATTGGGTTCAACAACGGGTGGGATTGCCCAAGTTATTTTCCCCTGATGTCTTTCCCCTTTTAATTTTTGAAAATATTGGAAAGCCCATAAAGCTGAATGCACACAAGTTAAATGTGTGCAAATTGCGGATTTACTGTACAGGTCTACTCAGAAGTAAGGCTCCATCTGCACTATAGATTTAAAGCAACATCACACCACTTTAAACCATCATGGCTTCTACCAAAGATTCCTTAGTTTGTGAAAGGTGTTAAGAGTTCTGAAAAGACCCTTTTCCCCTGACATATGTCCGGACAGAAATTGGAATATTGATTGCTATATGTTGTGTAAAAAAAGCTCAACAACTTTTCCTACCTCACAGAGCTATAATAATTCTTGACTGTCAAAAAGTTCTTCCTGCTGTTTAGTTGGAACCTCATTTCTTGTAACTTGAATCCACTGGTTCAGGTCCCAGCCTCCGGAGCAGAAGAAAAGAAGCTTGACCATCCTTCATGTGAAGATGGTTATCCTATCTCCTCTCAGACTCCTCTTTTCCAGGCCAAACTCCCTCAACCATTCCTCATAGGACTTGCTTTCCAGACCCTTTATCATCTTGGTCTCTCTCAGTAAAGAGCTAGGTGTTGGTTGTTTGGTTGGAGGGAGGGAAGACTTGATCTTCTCTGGCTCAGGTTAAAACTTGGTCATACAAGAATGCGGGATGGAGGGAAAGACTGTAATCCTTGTTTCTTAAGCAAGCATTATGGATCACCAAGGTCATATCCCAAGCCAAGGAATTATGGCACTTGACATATCTACCGTATTTTTCGGCCCATAGGGCGCACCTAGTTTTTTGGGGGGGGAAATAAAGAAAAAAAATTATTTCCCCCCCAGGCGCGGGGCTGGGACGGGGGAAGCCCGAGCTTCCCCTGACCCCAGCCCCCAGAACAGGCAGCTCCCCACAAGCCGTGGGAGAGCTGCACGAAGCCCGAAGCCTGCGACTTCGCGCAGCTCTCCCACGGCTTGCGGATAGCTTCCTGAAGCCTGGAGAGTGAGAGGGGTCGGTGCGCACGGACCCCTCTCGCTCTCCAGGCTTCAGCGAAAGCCTGCATTCGCCCCATAGGACACACACACATTTCCCCTTCATTTTTGGAGGTGGAAAAGTGCTTCCTATAGGGTGAAAAATACGGTAATTATTAAGCAGACTACAAATATTTATTTTTGTACCTCTGATTTCCTTTTCGTTCTAGCTGTAATGGTATAAAAGAATATGGAAAAATTGGTTTTCAATACGTAAAAACCTAATGCTATAATATATTAAGATTAAAGATCAGGATTAAAAAGGAGGGAAAGGAATTGCTGGGCTAAATAAATTGAACTGGAATACAAAAAAGGGAGGTATGAGGAGGTCCGGGAAACAAGCAAATGTAAGAGAAGTGACGAAAAGATGGAATTGTTTTTAACTGTTTTTTTTTTGTACTTTGTATTTTTCTTTTTTCTACTGTTATTTTTCTTATCAATGTAATATTTTTTTTGAAATTTTAATAAATATCATTTTTTTAAAAAAATGATTTCCTTTTCGTTGCCCTTTCCTGTCCTGTGGTGTATTCCTTTAAAATGTTGTTTACAGAGCTACCTGCTTTATTGAAGATTAAAAATGCAAAATGTAGCCTGAAGCGCTTCGGTTCCCAATCCCTTTCTGAGCTACAAGTTGGGACCATCCAGCAGCTAGTCACCTTTTGCAACACTTTGGTATTTATAAACTATTCATACGGATATCCCACAGTTACATCTCCGCCCTATCGTGTTCTCTGAATATACTGCTCTGCCTTGAGCCTGAAATGCAGCAACTATTTCTTCTCTTCTCTTCTCTTTTGTCCTTTGTTTTAAAATGTTTAAAACTCCCAGAAAGACACTTCCGGACCTGCAGCTCTGTACTGCAGATCATAAAACCAACACAAATAATTTAGCTTGAATTTGTAAGTCTGTACCTGCTAGCGATCCATATTTCATGGCAATGTGCATTTTTTATGAAATAAAGAACAGCATTCCATTCCAGAACAGAACGAAATGAAGAGAGACTATAAATGAAGAGAGTACGTTTCTGAGCACAATTCAAAGCCCTAAACGGCTTCGGCCCAGTATACCTGAAGAAGCGTCTCCACCCACATTGTTCATCCCAGACACTGAGGCCCAGCTCTGAGGGCCTTCTGGCGGTTCCCTCACTGCGAGAAGTGAGGTTACAGGGAACCAGGCAGAGGGCTTTCTTGGTAGTGGTGCCTGCCCTGTGGAACGCCCTCCCATCAGATGTCAAGGAAATAAACAATTATCTGACTTTTAGAAGATATCTGAAGGCAGCCCTGTTTAGGGAAGTTTTTAATGTTTGATGTTTTAGTGTGTTTTTAATATTCTGTTGGGAGCCGCCCAGACTGGCTGGGGAATGGGCGGGGTATAAATAATAAATTATTACTATTATTTTCTCTCTTTTTTAAGTGCAGCTCCTGACTTTTCCTATTCAAAGTTCTTTGACTTCTGTTATGGATGAACCTTTCCCATACAGACCAGGTGAAAGGTACCAGCATCCTACTTGTGTCCACTCTGTAGAAGCTCAGGTATGGCTTGTTCTGGCTTGTTCTTTGGCTTGTTCTGCCAAAGCTTCCCATCTGGATTCTGCCTCCATAGGTCTGGGGAAAGGCTGTAGCTCCTTGGTGGAGCTTCTGTTTTGCATGCAGAACTTCTCCAGTTCAATTCCTGGTATCTCCAAGTAGAGCTGCTGAGAGATACATGATGTTAGGTTGATCTAACACATATTCCAGTCTGACGCCCACATCTGCTTCTGGGCAACCTACCAGAGACCGCATTCCAGCAACAGGCAGGACAAGAGACAAAAAAACAACAGACATGGTCAGAGGCAAGAGCTGGCAGAAAGCAATGAATGTGAATTTTACCCTTGTACAGTAGGACAGTTTCTCTATCCTCCATCTAGGCAACCATAAGGCATTGTCCGATCTCAAGGACATAGTCCAGCCAGACAAAAACACTCAAAGAAAGTGCAAAGTGCATGACCCCTTCCATAGCTGTCAACTTACAGATTTGAAAATAAGGGACCAGCAGCCTCAAAAATAAGGGATCAGCAGCCAAAATAAGGGATCAACAATTACTTTGATAAAATACATATTTTGTTGCGTGCAAATGGCTTTAGATACCTATTAGGTCCATAAATTACCATATAGCATATATTCAACACAAAAAAACAGCAACAATTTGTTGTTGACAAAGGACAGCTGGACATAGAAAGGGCCCCATTACCTTCAGTAGCTTATTTAAGGGACATCATCAATAAGGGACAGCAGCGGGACATGGAGCTGGGATAAGGGACTGTCCCGCCAAATAAGGGACGCTTGACAGCTATGACCCCTTCCCATGATTCCTCCCCTTCAAACTACTGGCAGCTGTGTACTGTAGTGTTTTTAAGGTACTGCTTGCATAATATGGCACTGAACTATATATTTGTGGGGGAAATTAAGAAATAAAGAGTATATGTTTTACGAAGAGAGAGTGCAAAGAAGCAGGATCAATGAGGGATGTGACCTGCTTGGGGGAGAGTCAGGAGGACCAGACAGAGAGATCTACAGAGGAACCCTTTGGCCTGAGATTCCTCCTCTATCAATGCAGTCTAGAGGCTTTCTTCTGCAAGCCAGCTCTGTGTGCATTTATCTATATGCAGTGTATATTTCCAGAATGGCAATTAGAAAACCCCTTCTTCTGTGTGTGTGTGTGTGTGTGTGTGTGTGTGTGCGCGTGCGCGCGCACCATATATATCATATGGTTACCGAATGACAATTGGAGGACTTGTTCCTCATTTGTAAGCCTCTTTCATCCAGATAATTGTATACATCGCCTAGGCAAGGATTTGCTATCTCCCTGCAGAAAGGCACACAAGCGAATCCCTTTCGCGTTCTTCTTTTTTCCCCCTGGATCACAGCCACTGCTGCTGATTCCTTTCGAGAACAGGCATACGATTCAGAAAGGAAGGACCCCAGTCTGTGAATATAAGTGGTGTTTTGTTTACTCCTCTCCACGTCCTCTCTCTCTCCCCCCCCCCATTTTCATACTCAGTTCAAAAGAGGATATTATCACTGTTAGAGAGTCTGCGCAAATGAGATTTGGAAGGGAATTAAATTGGCCACACGCAACAACAAAAGAAAAAGAAAAATGGAAAGTAGGCGCTTGCCTCTTACTTAAACTACCTTTTGCATTTGGGACAGGGGGACTTTGGCAAGGCAATATAAGGTGGTGAGCAACTGAGCTGCAGATGTCATTGGCAGACCCCTCTAGAGGAGGAGGGGAAAACCCTCTCCTTTCATAAGAGTTGCACAAATGTGCAGTCAGCCATCTCCTAAAAGGAATAAGGGCGGAATTATCCAAGAAGTTGGCAGACTGCCATGTTGTTAGAAGGATTAATATACTGTATGCAGAGATACTGTATTCATATTTTGATTCCAAAACAACTTCCTTTTTAAAAAAATAAAATAAAATATTATTATTTTTAACGGCAGCCGAACCTCATTAGAAGGAAAAGGCTGGCGTTTCACCCTTCGGAAGAAAGACAAATTGTGGAAGCCGTCCCTAGAAGAAAGACAAATTGCAGGAGCTGTCCAAAGTGTCAGCTAATGGGGCCCCTTCCGTGAGGAGGAGATGGTTTGTGTAAACTTTTTAATTGGCTACACCAAGGCAAGATCAAACCCTCTAAACGTTTTTGCTCCTCGTGATAGATGAGCTCGTGGAACCACCACCAGAAGGCTTATTCTCCAGGCGGGACAGGGGGCAAGGGAAACAAATAGCTTGATTTGCCTCCATGTTGATTTGACATTTGAGCGGCAAGAGTCTTTTTCTGCAGTCGCCTCACACAGCCCAGACTTCAGACACATCCCCTTTTATTTGCTCCAGCTACCGGATCCTTGTCAGGATTCTTTCTCCTACAGCGCCCTCTGCTGAAAGGAAAGTGGCATGGAAAGGCCAGTAAAATGAAATAACCCCAGCCATTCTCCCTCAGAGCCTAATAAAGATATTGGATTTGAAATTAGGGCTTTAACTGTATTGATTAGGATTCGTATTAGATCACTTCGGACAAGTTCAGGCAGGCAATCCTGCTGCCAGATGGCCTTTCGTGTCAAAATTCGGCCAAGGACTTTGACTATAACGGCCATGATGTGTTTTAATATTGCATTTTTTGACATTCTTGTTACCTGCCCTGGGATCTTATAATGAAGAAATCAACTTTTTGTCATTATTATTAATTTGATGATCAGACTTAACTCCACCACACCTAGTTAGACAAAAAGACACATATTCACTACCATAATCTATTTACGTTTTGCTTGTTTTTGTAAAAGACAAGGCTACAAATCTTTTTTATTATTATTATATTTTATTCCGTTTCGATACTTTTAGCTTATGCAGTCAAAACACAATTTTGTCTTTTCTCTTGTTTTTGTCGACTTCCCACCCCTTTCTCCATGGAGTTGTTTCTCTCCTGCTGCTGCCACCAAACTTCTATCAAATCATAACCACAATATTATTATCTAATTACTTCTGTTGCCATAGCTCAAAGCCTACTCATGAGTTCATCATACTATAATATTTCTTTAAATAGTCCAAAAAAGGCACCCATTCTTCCATAATACACTCTTTGTTAGATTCTCTTAATTTTGCTGTTGATTTTGCCAATTCTGCATAGTCCATTATCTTGACTTATCCATTCTTCCTTCATTGGAATGTCTCCTTCCTCCCATTTCTGCACATATAGAATCCTAGCTGCTGTTATTACATATATAAACAGCTTTAACATTTGGGGTGGGGATTTTTACCCCTATAATCCCCTAACAAAAACATTTTAAGCTTTTTATATCTATAGGTAAAGGTAAAGAGACCCCTGACCGTTAAGTCCAGTCGTGGACGACTCTGGGTTGCGACGCTCATCTCGCTTTACTGCCCAAGGGAGCCAGCTTCCGGGTCATGTGGCCAGCATGACTAAGCCACTTCTGGCGAACCAGAGCAGCACACAGAAATGCCGTTTACCTTCCCGCTGGAGCGGTACCTATTTATCTACTTGCACTTTGATGTGCTTTCGAACTGCTAGGTTGGCAGGAACAGGGACCGAACAATGGGCGCTCACCCCGTCGCAGGGATTCGAACTGCCGACCTTCTGATCAGCAAGTCTTACGCTCTGTGGTTTAACCCACAGTGCCACCAGCATCCCTTTATATATATATATACAATCACTTTAAATATCTTTTTTTTTATCTCATTGTGTATCATTTCCCAAAATGCCCTTGCTTTCTTGCAAGTCCACCACGTGTGAAAAAAGGAAAAGGGGAAAAGATCCATTTACCTGTTTGCACTTCTGACAATACTACAAATCATAAATAGCAAACTCATGAGAAAAATACCCCCAAAAGGTTGCTGGCAGGGCCATCTTTAGCATATGTGCCACAGGGATGCAAAGATCCGCCCAGCGCCCCAAATTGCCCCGCACTCCTTGGCCATCATCCTGAGCCCCTGTGGCGGGGAAGAGGCTGCCTTGCGGCTGGCAGACACTGAGAGGAGCTGCAGGAGGACTGCAGAGAGGTGGAGGAGGACAATGAGGAAGGTGAGGGCAGCAAATCTCTAGGGCGCCACCACATCAGATACAAGATCTTTGCTGATTTCACAGAGAGTCGCTTCCCAGTGGAGGCAGAGACACTCCTTCCCCTTGCTGCTGCTGCTGCTACTGCTGCTGCCGCCGCCGCTTTCCCTCACCTTCCCTGTCATCCTCCTCCGCCTCTCTGCAGTCTCCTGCAGCTCCTCTCAGTGCTTGGCTGGCCGCGAGGCAGCTGGCACCCCCGAGAATTTGGTGCCTGGGTTCCCCACGCCCCTTACACCACCAGGTAAAGATGGCCCTGGTTGCTGGGTCAATGGCCATTGTCTGGTGGACCACGCAGTGTTTTCCTGGTTTCTTGTTGTTGTTTAGTCATATAGTCATGTCCGACTCTTCATGACCCCATGGACCAGACCACGCCAGGCACTCCTGTCTTCCACTGCCTCCCGCAGTTTGGTCAAACTCCTGCTGGTAGTTTTGAGAACACTGTCCAACCATCTCGTCCTCTGCCGTCCCCTTCTCCTTGTGCCCTCCATCTTTCCCAACATCAGGGTCTTTTCCAAGGAGTCTTCTCTTCTCATGAGGTGGCCAAAGTACTGGAGCCTCAGCTTCACGATCTGTCCTTCCAGTGAGCACTCAGGGCTGATTTCCTTCAGAATGGATACGTTTGATCTTCTTGCAGTCCATGGGACTCTCAAGAGTCTCCTCCAGCACCATAATTCAAAAGCATCAATTCTTCGGCGATCAGCCTTCTTTATGGTCCAGCTCTCACTTCCATACATCACTACTGGGAAAACCATAGCTTTTCCTGGTTTCTAGGTTCTTGCAAAGGGTTAGTTGAACTAGCTGTACCTGGAACAACTCCAACAAGACTCCATGTTCTGCAGCAAGAATGCAGACACAAGATCTGCTAGCAGCGATGAGTCGTGCCTTAACCATGAAAGTGTAGAGAACTTACTCTAACATTTTAAAGCACATCAGTGCATGGAAATCCTTGGCACAGGGGAGATTAAACAGAGTGTGCCAGAAGACTGCAGTTAAGAAGACTTCTCTCCACTGTGCCCAACCACCTATGGGTCTAGTTTTGGTAGCCCCATCACAAGCCACTTGAGGAAATGGAGTCTTCATAAATCAAATTATTTTTTTAGCAAAGAAGAATGCACAGAAGAACAGAAGTAGAATGTAGGAAAGGGCTGTCAGTCGTGGAGCTAATTGGAATTGATGTCTAAATGGTGTGCTGTTAGTCAGTTTAAAAACTCCATTGGAGTAGCTCTTGTTTCAGGCTTCGGCATCAGTTGTGTCTCAATTAATTTGAGTCACAGGAAGTAACAATGGAGGCCGGCAGCCAAGCCAATTATTTACAGCAGGCAGACAAAGATCTTCTGTGCAAAGGCATGCAGGGAAACAGAAATTTACAGTAGGTGAGTCATGAGCCTTTTCCTATGAAATGTAGATTTACTGTGCAGAACCTTTAAAAGGGCCATGCAGGGCGGCGCATGCTGATCTAAGGCCAAAAATACATACTGGATGAGGTCATTTCAAGGCTGTTAGCTTACTATGGAGTATTGCACATGAAAGATATTCCATTTGCCTGCTAATGCAACACACATGTTAGTTAATGTCTCTCATCTTTATAGTTTTCAGGATTATGTAAGACACACAGCAAATATTCTTGGTGGGGGCTCAGTTCTACCACCAAATAGCTTGGTACGGTTGCTGCTCATGACCAGGAAAGTTAGTGGTGGGTGGAACCAACCACAGATCTCTTGCCATTCAAATCTGTCTCTGGAAACTGTTTTAAGAAAGAAAGAAAGAAAGAAAGAAAGAAAGAAAGAGCCAACTGGTTATAGATGATATAGATATAGATGACATAGATATATAGATATCCCTCCTAGACCAGTGGCTTCCAAGTGTCAGGCTGCTGCCACCAACTCCTGGCTGCTTGCCCAGGAACGTACAAAGACAAGTGAATGTTTCTTACCGTCCTATTTTTATTCAGTATTTACAGAGAGAGGCTATAGAACCCAGCCCCTTGGATAATGACATTGCCCCAAGTAAATCTCCACACACGCCCCGTCTCGCCTACTTCCTCATTTGTCATCCCTACGGGTGCTGCTATGTGCCATTCTCCCATATCTTAAAACAGCCTTCTCCCATACCTTAAAGACCCATTCCAATGCAAGGCTACCTACAAGCACAGATAGCTGAATACTCAACTCGGTGTAATACAGTCATACCTCGGGTTACAGATGCTTTGGGTTGCGCGATTTCAGGTTGCACACCACGCCGAACCCGGAAGTACCAGAATGGGTTACTTCTGGGTTTCGGTGCTTTGTGCATGCGCAGAAGCGCTAAACCGCGCTTTGGGCATGCGCAGAAGCGCTGGATCGTGACCCACGCGTGCGCAGACGCGGCGCTGCGGGTTGTGAACGCTGTGGGTTGCGAATGTGCTTCCTGCAGGGATCACGTTCGCAACCCGAGCGTCCACTGTAAATGCATTTTTCAAAATCACCTCCCTATCTTTCGGAGTACCTGCAGACTCAACCTATCACCAGCCATTTCCAAATCCTGAGGTCCTGAAGGGACGTCGTTGGGTCCCAGGCCTCGGGCACTTTCTTCCCTCAGATTTCACCAGCAGTGCTTACGGCGCTGGGACTGTTGTGCGTGCCATGTTTGGCATGGGAAGAAGGTGGAATGGGAGTGGAACTGGACAGAATGGGGGCAGGGCCAGGGTGGAATGGGGCAGGTGGGCTTCCACATGCTCTACCAATGCGCTATGGCCCAGAACAGAACCCGTGCATAAATGGGGGTGGAGTGGGTTGCCTGTACAATAGAACAATTTATATCAATTGTCCCACCCATTTCTGCCTGTAGCTTCACCCACTAATGGCGTGCAGTCCTCAAAAGGGTGCCCAGAAATGAATGTAGTCGCCAGGGTGCAAAAGGTTTCTCATCCCTGCTCAGGTCAATGCCACGTAAGCGGAGCACATGTGGCAAGAGAAAGGTGAGACCCGCCAGCGTCAGAAGAACCAGTGACCACAATATGCTCCTCTCCAGCAACCCTCACCCTCATACTTCCACACTGAGTCGTGGTTTGGCTTCGAATTGCACAAGAGCTGTGTTGTGTTTAATAGGGCTTTTTGCTGTGTTAATATCCATACCATAACAGCCTCTGTGTGAAGCAGCTCTTGCTTGTTATATTCCATTCAAAGAAGGAAGGAGGATGCCACACAGTCACGAATCTTAACTATCTTTATTTTCTGCCTTCTCTTTAGATTCAAAATATGCTACTTTTGTCCAGCAGGGGGCACTATGCTACCTATTTTACTGCTGCTTGTATCGCACATAGCAACTTTTGTCATGACGTTTGGGGAAAGAACTATGTGTTTTTTAAGTTTCCTGATAGACAATATTGATAATCAGTATGACTCTTTTTTTTAACTACATACATGAAGCTATGTGGCAAATTTGTTCCCAGCTCAGAGGTAAGAGGCCATTTTGAAATTTAACAGCAACCTAGTGACCCAGTAAGTCGTTTTAACAATTCCAAAGTCTGTTGTGTTCATTATTCCAAATGTCTATACCACGCCTGGTTGTTTTAAGAATGTGCCAGTGTGATGTAAATTGTATGTTGTATTTTTATGCAGTGAACTGACCTGAGATCTACAGATGGAGGGCTGTAAATATAATGAATAATAATAATAATAATAATAATAGCTTCACAACCTGGTCCGAAGTTTGGCCCTGCTGTTAGCCAAAGTGAAGCCACTACCTCTGGCAGAAATAGAGATGAGGCAGAAAATTGATTCCATTCGCATTTAAATGCAAACTTGCCTAACTTTCACTGTTCGAAACAAGATGAGGACTGAAGCAAAGCTGCAAGTTGCACTTCTCCAGGCAAGTACCATTTACAAAAATGCATACGCTGAAGTAAGGTGACACTAGTCAAAAAAAAAGGACATGCAGAAATGCATTGTATTGTGGGCATCTGCTTTGCATATTAAACAAGATTGCATTCAAATATGTATATTAGGAGAATTTTGCAGTAAAATGCTGGTGGGTTTTCATGAGGACTTCTTTTAAAAATGCAAACTGGGCCAGAATGTGTAAAAGACCTAAACTTAAGAGTAGAAAAATGAGAAACTGAGATGAACCAAAATGGACAGACTCCCCGCCAATTACCTCTGTTGTCCCTAATCTGGCCTGCTGCCTCAGGTGTGGCAGACAATGCTGTCCTGTCACCAAAGGTGAAGCAAGATTCAACTGCCAATTCACTTGACTTCTGCATGATGCCTTCCTTCACCTCAAGCGTCAAAATATTATTGGCCTGCCCTAAAATCTCACTTTAAGTATTCTGCAAGGCGAATGGATTTTATATGGAACTATACAAGTTCTATAGGTATAGATATTGGTATAAGGCATTTTGTTTTGGTCAGTACTCCCAAACCTCAGTGTAACTCCACCCCCTCCCATAAACAAACAAACACGCCTAATTCCACACATTCCAGTGCCCTTTCTTTCTTTCCTTTTGCTCCTCACTAACCAAACACCCAGACGTCTCCTCTCCCACTTATTTCCTTACCCCCCTGAGCTCTGTGCCTGATCAGGAGTCATCAGCTCTCATGGAACTGGCATCCAGTAAAGTGTGCAGATGTTCCCGTCGGGATGATTTGCATGAGAACAAAACTTCAAATGTCGCATGGAAAAACCACGCAAAAGTCACAATTCAAAGCCTCACTGCCTCATCTGAGAAATGCATGAGGCAACGTTGTCCAGGAGTGCGGCTGTTTTTATCCCATTGGCATTTGTGTTTGGCAATGCTTTGTTTAATGATTTTATTCAATGTTCCTAACAAAATAAAATAAAAGCACATCATAAATCGGAGGGTGTTTTTTTGTTTTGTTTTTAAAGCTTTGGAATACTTTTTTTTAAGCCTCATGGTTCTGGTCTGAATTTCAAACAGAAAACATCGCTGAAGATCTTAACATAGGTTTACCAGACATCCCCAGTTCCCAGGGACAGTCCCCGGATTTGCAAATCTGTCCCCGGGAAACGTGGCAGTAGCAGCCTCAGCAGCCCAGAGCCGGCCTGGTAGCGCAGTTGGCTCTGGCTGGCTTCAGGAGCTGCTTGCTGCCCCCGCCACTACTGAAGGGGAACCAGGGACGTCCGGTGGTACAGATCTCCTGCCCCCTTCCCCCTTTGTTTTGACAGATCGGGGGAGGCTCGGGAGTCACGGGTGGGCAGGCGCCGCCCAGGAGGGGCAGAAGGCGCATGGTTTCTCTGCCAGGCAAGGTGCAAAGCCCTTCTTTTGCACCCTGTGAAACATAAATGTGCAGAGGTTTTTTTTAAAAAAAAACTGGGCAACAGCCACCCACCTGTGACTCCCAAGCCTCCCCGATCAGTCAAAACAAAGGAGGAAGGGGGCAGGAGATCAGGGGAGCACCGTTGCCCAGTTTTTAAAAAAAACTGCACATTTATGTTTCACAGGGTTCGAAAGAAGGGCTTTGTGCCTTTATACAATATGCATATGTACTTGGGCCCAGGGTCTTTTGCCTCACCATCTCCACTACTGATTCCCTGTTGCTAAGGTAAAGGTAAAGGGACCCCTGACCATTAGGTCCAGTCGTGGCCGACTCTGGGGTTGCGGTGCTCATCTCGCTTTACTGGCCGAGGGAGCCGGTGTACAGCTTCCGGGTCATGTGGCCAGCATGACTAAGCCGCTTCTGGCGAACCAGAGCAGCGCATGGAAACGCCCTTTACCTTCCCGCTGGAGCGGTACCTATTTATCTACTTGCATTTTGACATGCTTTCGAACTGCTAGGTTGGCAGAAGCAGGGACCAAGCAATGGGAGCTCACCCTGTCGCGGGGATTCGAACCACCGACCTTCTGATCGGCAAGTCCTAGGCTCTGTGTTTTAACCCACAGCACCACCCACCCGCGTCCCTGTTGCTACTCAGCTTAAAAAAAAAACAAAAGTGTCCCCGGATTTATTGAAAAAAATCTGGTAACCATATCTTAACAGTGATCTCAGTTCTCCAAGTGGCAGGACTTACCGCCGCCAAAATGGCACCCCCACAGACCTGCATGGGGAAACGTCAAGGGTTGCCGAAGTAAAACAACAACAACAACAATTAGAGAGAGAGAACACCTATGGGAGCAAAAACCAAAAAAGGAATAAAAAGCAGCCTGTCTTACCATGCTCAGTAAGGCATGGAAAGCTGTGGTTCATTACAGGGAAAATAGAACGGAGTATCTTGAATGATGAACTGAGGAACTCCTCGCTGAACCATGAGACAAGGTGAGGTGACTGCCTCAGGTGGCAGGATCCACAGAGGCAGTAGACTAGGCCTTCAAGGAATGCATCGCCTGCTTCAGTGGTGGTAGCGACAGTTGAAGTGCTTTCCTTGGAGGCCAGATTTAAAAATTAACCGCCACAGTGGCCTGTTGGCAAATAGGAAGCACTGCTGGTCTTCTTCCACACTTGCTCTCGATGTAGATTTTTATACTCCCCCCCCCCCTTTGTTCCTGATACAGATCTTCACTCAATCCTTCTTCTCTGGCTTGGTGAGGCACCATTTTGTTGTTTACCTCAAGTGTCAAAAATGCCTGTTATCATAGTCATTTCTCTTGTAACTTCACATGGACTTGAAGGTTGTCCTCAGATAATAAACTGGGCTCAGAACTTGTAGGAAAGTTGTGACACTGTGTACAAAACTGCAGTCTGAGTAACATCCTCAGAGTTAGCCGAAACAGTTAACTAATAACATTTATTGAGGCATAAGCTTTCCTGGACTAGAGTTTAGTTAATCAAATGCATGAAGTATTATCCGTGCTTGACAGGAGTTTTTCTCTCAGGATCCCAGAGTTCCATTCCTATCAAAACTGAGCAAACAGGAACAATAACCATTGATAGCTTATATGCAGAAGTTGGCAGACATCCTGAAGGAATTACTTTAAAGGTATTTCAAGAAAGCTAGGCATTGAAATATTTCAGCATACATTTTCCCATGTGCACAGGCTGTTATTTATGTCTTGTTTTTATCTGTATGGGCCTACGGCCGTAATAAATTATTATTATTATTATTATTTCAGCATACAATTTTTTTAAAAAAAATAAATATTCCAGCTCAATGAATAAAATGTTTGCACAACTCTGCTCTGCTTCATTTGGCTTGCTTGGCAGTAAACTGATGGGAATCACATCAATGCAAACATGAAAGAGAATATACCACTTCTTACTTTGCTGCAAATAAAGAAAATTGACAGTTTTAATATCAAGCATTCAACATTATAATGTCTGCACCCATGGGGGGAAACTACTTTCCCCTCTGTCAGAAAAAAGCAGAGTCCAAGAGTACATGATTATACCTGTGCAAGAAAGTGGAGAAATTTCAGGGTATGATAACAGAATTGTAATTGGTCATTAGGTTTTTATGAATAGGTGGCAATCAAATGATATGCCCTAAAGTAATCATCCTGTAAAATATAGCAAAACTAACTTAGCTGCCCAAATTGAGGTTGGAAGAACACAGGGATTTCCACAGACCTGGATTGGTATCTACTTATATGTGCTTTATGTGTACACATCCTCTCTGTGTGTCTCTGTCTCTCTCCGTCTGTGAGAGGTGCTCCCTTACTCAGTTGAGATGAGGATGACTTTGAAGCCATTAAAAAAGAACTGTCAAGATAGCACTCACATTGCAGTATTGTTTGTGCTTCTATAATTCATACAAGTTCATAGCTTTGATTGGAATTTTGATGGAACAGGTGCCCTGATTATTGTCATCTGGACAAACAAATTTCAGGTGGCTAGCTGAGTTCTGGGCAAGCTTCCATCCATGTTTACCATTTTGTTTTTGTTGCTGTTTGTTCAATTGCCTTTGTAGCATGGTTTTCCTGTCTTTTCATAGACCCTGTGAAATTATCCTGTTTTGCTCTCCATATTTCCTCAGGTCATTTAACATGCTTGGCTATATTTCCTTTTGTGTTGCTGCATGAAAGATTGATGTGAGGAAGGGCGGGGGGGGGGAGAGCATGTAACAGACGAGTCGTTGCCAGATAAAAGATTTTGGCAGAGAAAAAGTCAACTGACATATCTTAGCCCTCTTTAAAACATTCTTGAGATTCTGGATCAAATTTGTTGTTTTTTTCTTTTTAGAACGAGGGCTTGTTTCTTATTTTTGCATCCCAACATTTGATTTATTGATAATACATGGATGTACAATGGTTTAGTTGAGTCCGGTTGCAGCATTATGAAATCTTCTAAAACTACAGCAAAAGAATTAAAAAGCAAAACATTCAGGGGGCTGAAATGAAAGATCATAGGAATATATGAAAACACGAAGCTGCCTTATATTACACCAGGCAATTGCTCCACCAGGTTCCCTATGTCTCTTAAGCCTTCCCAAATTACAGGTAGTCTATTTTATTGTTGCTGTTTTTAATTCTTGATAGGGTTTATGCTTTAACACTGATTTATTATCTCTATAGGGTTTTATGTTCTGTTTCTGTATACCATGTATTCTCTGAATGTAAGGATGTTTATAAATTCTGAACTAAATATACAAAATATTGTCTACACTGACTGGCAGTGACTTCCCAGGATTTCAGACACAGAGTTGTATCAGTTGCTGCACCAGCAGGGTTCCACTAGTACAATGGGACTTCTGTTTCCTCTCCGCCCCAAGTCTGCTCTGGTTCCCAGCCCTCCAGAGATGACTTTGTGTAAAGGTTCTGTAAGTAACAGAAGGCTGTTGCACCAGTGGAATTAAAGCTTCAGATACGGCCCAGACAGTCTTTCTTAGCCTGAAGATGCCAAGGTTGGAACCTGGGACCCTCCACATGCAAAGCAGAGTCTTTACCACTGAGCTATGGCTCTTCTTCATGTTCTCTAATTTTTTGAGACAGCAAAGGGAGATGGGGAAACAAGAATTTCAATGTGGGGCTCATCTTTTTCTCCACTTACCTACCCTTTGTCAACAAGAATGACAGGCCCAGGGAGACAAAAGGAAAGCAATGGGGTGTGTTCGGTTACAAAAACAACAAAGTTATTTTTCCTTCAGATTATTTTTTTTTAAAAAAAACCTAGGGCACAAACCCTTCTTTGACAAATGCTACCCTCTCACCACCCCTTTGAGAGTACTGGATAATGTCTTTCTGACCCCCAAAATTGGCAGTCTCACTCCCTGGCTTGTGTGTATAGGATTGCTCTTTTAATAATGTTTTACACAGACTTTCCAACCTGGTGTCCTCCAGATGTTTTAGACTATGAGACCCATCACCCCAGATTATTGGCCATGATGGCTGAGGCTGATGGGAGTTGTAGTCCAAAAGGACCTCACGGTATCAAGTTGAGGAAGGTTGCTTTAATAGACTCGTTCTATAAAGAGGGTCTCTTATTAAAGTGAGACTCACTTATATCATGGGATGGCTAACCTGTAGCCCTCCAGATGTTGTACTACAACGTGCATCACCCCTAACCACTGAACATGTTGTCTGGGAGTTGGAGTCCAGCAACACAGGTTTTGAAGCAAGATTCATTTTAACATTTTCTCTTGAAGACTTCCCCCCCCCCCCCAAAAAAAGCAGATCTCACAAATCCAGTTTAAAAGCTTCAAAAGTAAATGCATGGGACACTTTGCTCCCTGTCCATGGTGCTGATTAGCTGTGTGCTTTGTATATCTCCAGCATATAATAAGCAGAAAAGACGAATAGTGTTGTTTGCACCTACTGGAAAACAAATTAGGTATATTACATAAACATATTACATCCAATTGCACAGGCACTTCTGGGGAACCTCAGCTGCATATCTTTTATCTGAATTAAGCCATAATATGAATATGGTATTTTTAAAAATTACAAAAGGAATCGAAATGGTTGAGTAGCTTTGGGAAGATTAGTCCTTGGGTGTTTGTAGTAGTCACATTTCAGATATATTGTAGCTGCAATCCTATACCTATTTACCATTTAATTTAGTGGGACTACTTCTAAGTAGGCATGTAGAGGATTGTGCTGTAAATAGGCAGAATCCAGACTAAGTTAATTGCACCCAAGTCCTGCCAAAATCAATGCAAAATGTTAGTTATGGTTTAACTCATCTCACTGGTGTTAATGGGAACTAAGTGTGAACAACTTGGACTGGACCCAGCCCAATGTATCCAGTCTTCACTTGCATCTTGGTCATTGCACTTCTTTTCTTCTCTTTTGTGATTTCATTGTTGTGTGCCTATCGTATCCCTTTTTGTAACATAAACTTGTGGTATCTTGAAAGGCCAGATATTGTAATCTGATGTACAAGCTTTTGTTTTTAACAGAAAAGGCAAGAATAAAGCAAAAAAGGGAAATTCACAAAATCAGCAGTTTTCCTCAAAGGTCTAGGGTAGGTCTAGACCCATGGGCTAGATCCCAAAGCAATGTTATCTACACCCTGTCAACACTACTAAATACTAATCAAGGTGTGGATGAAAAAACTGCTGATGGAAAAGGACATTGTTTTCAAAGTTGTTTAAGACAGGCATAGTCCACACATGCTCCAGACATCCAATATTTGCAAATAGCTTTTCCATCAACAATGTTGATCTCAAACCATCTGACAGTAGCACATCATCAAAATGTATAAATAAAATATACATATCAACATAATATCAAGAAAACAAAAACAAGTCATGTGACTGTATTTTGTTTTAATATTGAATTTTAAGTTGTTGTACCCCACTATGACACCTGATGGTGAAAGGTGGGTTAAAAATGGAATTCATTCGTTCATAACAACAAGTTCAATAAATACATGAAAAATAATTGAACAATATAAAGATTCTAAATACAAAAAAAGGTAGAGTGTTAATACATGTAAATGTAGAGGGGCAAGACTAACATTCACAGAATGAGGAGTGACTACCGTATGATAGATCTAGAGCACATGTGACCTAGATGCAGAAAACAAAATGGTAGTACAATTGGCTACCTAAACGACCCTGGCCAATTACACTGAGTGCTTTCAGGAAAGGGCAAAAGAAAAAAAATTCATGGGGTATGAAACTAAAATAGATTATTGGGGGGGGCGGCTAATCCTGCTTCTAAATGGATGAGCAGTGCAGAGACCAAGTTGAAGAAAGGGTTTCTTCTGGGACAGGAGTGGAGAAACTGGTCCTCCTGGTATAGCTGGATCTCAGCTCCCATCATCCATGACACTTGACCACACTGGCTGGAGCTGATGGGATCTGAAGGGCAACAACAACAGCTGGGTAACCAAAGGTTCCCTAACCCTATGGAGCATGAGTAACAGAAAGGAGAGGGCCCTTGTGAGACTCTGGTTGTGAGGGGTTTCTGTCAGTAAAAACTGATAGAATTAGCCCCCATGCTGAATATAGGCAGCCCTGGCATGAGTAAAGAATGGAAAAAGAAGCATGATTTGACTTTGACTTTGTGAGGCTTCCTTGAACATTAGCTGAAAGGATTTCAGGTTCTTGTAGGTTTTATGTCGTCTATTTGAATCACACAAGGCCTCTCATGTTTTCTCATTAGGTCTAACAACTGTGTCGCTTGCATAGCTCCAGTGTATACATAATAAATTATGAACCACTTTTGAAATATGGTTTTGTAAAAAGCTTTCCGGGCTGGGGGATGGAAGAGGGGAAGCATAGAGTCTCTGTGTAATTTGTTTAAAGTTATAAAAGCAGAGGCTGCGACAACCTCCTAATAAATCTGTAGAAGCACCACTGTACTAAAAAGCAGCTTTGTGAAAATAGACTAATTTATGGCCTTTCTGTCTCACTTCTTTATGGGCACTTCCGTCTACAGCGTCAAAAAAGAATACAAGTGGAGAAGACCTGGAAAAGCTGAGTGAACCAGGTCCAAATTAAATATTGAAGATCCAGGTTATGAATCCACATGTTTCTCCTCACTGTACAAACTAAATAAGCAAATCTGTTCTCTCTATACAGTGGGGCCTTGGTTTACAAACTTAATCCATTCTGGAAGTCCGTTCTTAAACCAAAGCATTCTTAAACCAAGGCGTGCTTTCCCATAGCAGCGAGGGACTCAATTTATAAATGGAACACACTCAACAGGCAGCGAAACATGTTCTTATTCCAAGGCAAAGTTCACAAACCAAAACACCTACTTCCGGGTTTCCAGCATTCTTAATCCAAGTTGTTCATAAACTAAGCTGTTCTTAAACCAAGGTACCACTGCATATGGTTCTTTATTCTCCTCTATCCAGCACACAGGTATATGTATGCAGGCCCTCTGAAGTATTATCCGGATATGCTTTGGGCATGGTCAGCGAACAGTACTGGATAACAGGTATGAAAAAAAATATAAAGATGCGCCAAACAAAGTTTGGGCTGTTGGCCTTAGGCTTTCTGTGAGGTGAGGAGTGGCATGTCAGTGAGGTAACTGGGCTCCCATGATGAGGCCCTGTGCATAACAGCTGTCATGTAAAGAGATGAGGCCTTTGGGCAAGGCAAACATCATACGCTAAAATGGTAAAATGGCTGCACCATCCATTTGTCCCACAATGATGATGATCAAATGATGAGGGGAGAGGGAAGGCCATCATAAAATCCTTCACAAGCCCTCCTTGCAATTTTAGCCCAAACATATCTTTCTGTTAGCATCAATTTAGGGCCAATCACAAAAGGTGAAGGGAAGGGACTGGTCCCCTTCTAATCCCAGTTCTGTCCTTCCTTCAGCTGGCTGGGTGGACTGTTTGCTTAACACTACAAGGAGCCTCTCATCTCGCCCTACTCCAATTGGACTGAATGTGGAGAGGATAACGCTTCCACTCCACAACCCAAGATGGTCAAGCACAACTCTTTTTAATCTCTCATTTAGGACAAAACAAAATGGCTATAGCTCCTCTCACCATTTGCAATGCTTTCTCCTGCTCCTTCCCTCATCCACTGCGTAGCACACCCTGAAATCTGTAGACCATAGCAGGTGAGGAAAGGATCCAATGACAGGACCACGGAGTGAATAGGGAAGAAGAGCTGCAGTAGAGCTCATCTACTACTTTAGTGAACGATGAAAACAGTGAAAGGGTGTGTCCAGAATCCAGATTGTGAGATGTCAACCCTAGAACAGGGGTTTCACCCTTCAGATAAGTGACAGGTGAACCTGTAGCAGAGGTTAGGAGACTTGTTATTGTTAGTACCCTAGCTCCTTCTTAACTATGCTTTTGGGGAGTTTGTGGCTTAGTTCTAAAGTGTGCAGAGCATACTAACAAAGATCAGTCTCTCTGCACAGCCAATCGCCATGGCTAAAGTAAGGCATCTCAGTCTTATTATTGTATTTGTTATCAAGTATAGCCTACTTTTCCTCCAGAAGGAGATCAGAGCAACATACGCTAAAAATACTAAAACAATATAAAACAAGGAATGGCAAACTACGTGTAATCAAATTGAAAACAGGGCTTTCGGTTAGCATGGACTTTCCCATTAAAGCCAGGTTTACGAACTTTTTGAATGGCAGATGCTTAATTTAAGAAATGCTTTACAGCGGAATTATCAGAAAGCATACATACATACAGAACTAAGGCCGCAGACTAAAATTGCGGCTTCCAGGATGTCATTCATCTTGAGTGTCCCAGTACAATTTCTTTAAGCAACTACAGAGTCCCCAAAGAAATTATCCGGCCATTGATTAGACAAACCACCTGCCTGGAATTGAGGGGGGAGGGGAAGAGGAAGGCATGGAAATGGAAAATCTTTCTGAAAGAAATCAGCAGTCACTGATTGCTTTGAGGGAAGATGTGGATGGGCTCGTGTGCTCTTGGAGTCCCAGGGAGTCTATATATCATAGTGATGAGGTTCTTGGTCATAAACTCACAGAGAGCAAATGAGACAGTTTAGTTGCTTCTTTCATTTGGGTAATAGTCTTCTACTCCATATGAAGAACTAGAGCACACTAGAGTACTTTGCTTAAGCCTGTTTTGTGTAGGATAACTTATCAGAATACTTGCAAGGGAGGGGGTGAACCCAAAACACCTGCCACATACCTTCTTTGTGTATATTTTCACTCTTTTTCCATGTTACATAGCCTTATTTAAAAATGAAAAATGTTGGTCTACTCCCCTGGAAAGTATCTGTTCCATCACTTAAGGGTGCATAACAGCCTGCACCATAAAGGAATTGAAGTTTGCAAGGGATGCTCTTCTAAGGGCACTTATTCAGATGTCAGTTCTGTTCAAAGAAGTCAATAAGCTGAATGTGCTGAATGTCTCACCTGAAAGATCCTATTTAAAAAGCCACATAGACTTTTGTTAATATGGCAGGTCAGGAACAGGGCGACATACAGGATTTTGCAGAATTTGTCATTTGAATTTTTAAGCTAGTTTTGTAAGCCGCTGTGAGAACGCCTGTGTGCAATACAAGTGCACAATTTTAATAAGGGAAAACTAATGTCTGTGAAATGTAAACCAAGAAGCTGTAATCAAGAAGCTATATATACTTTTGTCATTTCATATCTATACAGCCAGTCCTGTGCATGCAAACTTGAGCAGGTTTCACTGATTTCAGTGGAAACTTGTATCCACAAAAATGCCCTTAGGATTTCAGGCTAGTATGGCAATAAAGAAAACAAGTGCAATACAACTTCTTGCAGTATTATTCTTGTTTGTTCTGTTTATCTTGAGCCAAGTGCCTGGATAATGTGCCCTTGCACCTGAAAACTGCCATTGTCCAGGCAGCCTGGATCCGAGCCCTCTTAAGAGCTGACTAGGTACAATTCAACCACGTGAGACATGGGCTTCCTCTGCCCATATTCCACACAATCTTCATGATTGCCCACCCCTCCCACTGTAGACCTTCCTCTTCCTGCCTATAGCCTGATCAGCAGTGTCCCTTGCACAAGCAAGGACTGCAGGCAGGAAAATGAAGGGTTAGAAATCAGAAGCCTGAGCCATGGACTGATATTCATATATAAGCATCTAACTTTTGGGAAATAACTGGTGGATGCCAGTTAATTCTGAAATCCCACTTGTGTGGGAAACTACAAAAGTAAAAAAAAGAAAAGCTGACTGCCTGAATTAAATAATGTGGGGCTCGACTCACTCTTTAGCCAAAACAGACCCCAGTAGAGTTTAAAACAGAAATACGTGCAATGTTTGCAAAGTGTGGGAAATATAGGTTGTTAGACCTGTAAATATCCCAGTGTTAAGCACTGATAATGTGCTTCCCCACCTCTACCCATCTCAAAGTGAATAGACTACAACCTTAAGTAAGTTTAAATGCTTTACTTACAGTAATCAGTGGTCTCACCCATGCATCATTGAATGCTACAGCAGAAACAACATTGGTAAGGTATTCTTGGTTATGAAATACAGAAGTTTGGAGCCTCAGCCTCAGGCATCTGCTAAGTTACATGGTTCAAAGAGGGAGGGGGAGAGAGAGGGGGGGAACAGGAAACAACCTTTGCTTCCTCCCTCCCCAAAGGTGAGAAGTCATGACCAATCTGAGTCTTCTCTACCAATACAGAACTTTGTGATCCTTAACCCCTTTCTTACTGCTGAATATGTACTGTTATGTTTGGCTGTGTTAATCTCCCACACTAACAACCCAGAGAAAGATGCCCAAACAATCTGGGATAGTAGAAGCACTCATTTTATGATGGGGTCACTAATACTTAGCTCCATCTGGAGGTATTTACTATCTTAAAGCAGGGATGGGGAACCTGTGTCCCTCCAGATGTTGATAGACTGCCAAATCTCATTTAACCAACTTTCATTTCAGAAGATGACCATGGGCAAATAGCCCACAATGGTCCCCGCATGGAAGTTGGTGAACAGTGCTCACCTGCATCACCAATAAGTACAAAATTTAAAAGGGCTCTTTAACCTCATACATATTTACTCGAAACTAAGTCCTGCTATGCTCAACGGGACTTACTCCCAGTCTCTGCATCTACACTCCTGCACAGCTGCTATCTCGTACACTGGGAGTAAATATTCAAGCTTTGACTGGGTCTTCTTGGCAAATGAAATAGATTCTTTGAGAATGAAAGGAAATTATAGGAGATGGTTTGCCACAGATTTTGCAATTTTATGGCAAAACACTGTGACAGCCAAGTTACTGGGACAATAGAGAATCCCCACAGTGATGTCAAAATTCCTGAATTCAGCAAAAGTAATATGAGCACTCTTTCCTTTTTGTGGAGGCAAATCAGGATAAAAATCTAATAAACCTAATCATTTTACTTAAGCCGCTTGAATGTTTTCGAACAATGTTACAAACACACAAATACACACACACACACACACACAGAGAGAGAGAGAGAGAGAGAGAGAGAGAGGAACTTCTACTGCTGACAAAGTCTCCCTTTCCTGATTGCTCAGTCTTGGACCCTAAAACTCACCCCTTGGCATTTCGTCTCATGTTCCAGTCCCACACTCATTGTCTTTTTCCACTCTTCTCTTCATTCTCTCCCCCACGTAGCAGATCACGCTCTGTTGAGTCATCTCTGCCCCACAGCCCCCATTTGCCCTGTGACGTGTTTGTCCCAGCTCTGACGGATGCAGTCTCCGCACCCCACTCCTTTATAACGGAATCGCCTCTTTTAATCCAATAACCACACGCAGGCCCCCAAACGAGCATAGGTTCAATAGGAGGGGGAGAAGAAGGGAAACAGCATCTGTGGCAATGGGCTGGGTAGTGGGTTAATCCAGGCCAAGGGCCTTCTGTTTTGCTGTTCCTGATCACCTCCTGAAAGAATTGCTTCTCCCTTGAGAGTGGAGCCCTAGGTAATTCTCCCACTGAGAATGGCTGATGCTCTGACTGCCTCCATAGCTGTAGTCTCACAGAACCATTGGGAACGGGGTGAAATAGAAGGGAAGGCACCAGTTCCCCAAAAGTGAGGAAATTCAGCCTCTTAGGGAAAGGAAGATGTCTGGCTTCCCTTCTGTGCTACACAGGACCCTGGATATGTACAGACTAGCCTGAAATTCTCGTAGGACTGGAGCTCTTTGCAATTGTGCCTGTCCCTTTAAAGAAAGGGAAAGCTGCTTCTCACACTCTGCCTCTGTGGGTGAACACAAGGTGCTGGGATTGAGTTGCTTGATGCCAGATCAAGGGAAAGTGGAGGCAGAGCTCAGAGGAAGAAGGGAGAAGAGGATATCTGCTGGAAAAAGAGGTGAATTGGGGGTGAGGATAAGTGAAACAAAAGGGGGGAGTTGGGAGGAGGTGATAGTTGTGCCGGGAACAATGCCTGTTTTTGCAAGGGTTGTGAGTAATCCAATAAATCTAACTTGTTACTGACGCTAGTCTGGGAGTTTAGAAATTGGCTGTGTAAACTCAAATGTCACCTCCGGCAACCTGCTTTTGCTCAAGCGTTAGAAGCTGATCAACAATTTCTAAGGAAATAGTCACTAATGAAGGGGTGGAGGGAAAGGAATTACCAAGCCCTGCTTGGATGCCCCTGCTTATGTCAGCTAATTGGATCATACTTTACTCTGATTCTTACGGAGACTTAAATATTTATGTCACACAGAAAACCTTTCATGGACATTCTTGTTTTGATCAAAAACGCACTTTTCGATTCCAACTGTTGATGATGTACCTTAGTCTGTCTCCCCCCATTCCTTCAGAATGTAAATTCTGTCACAGCGAACCTGCATGGAGACATGGACTCGAAAAGTGTACATCAACTGTTGATAATAGTTCTACTCTTTTCTGTCACTCGTTCATGTGAGCTATTGATTTTGTTAGATTCTATTCACACTTTAAATCTTCTAGTGATGAGTTTCTTTTAACGGCAAACTTGAGGCAGACCTTTTCAAGGGACAGAAATGTCATTCTTATGAAAATGAGAGCTACGCTTGCAAAAGTGGCAGAAATAACTTCATTTCTGACCTTCATTCTTTGAGCAATAATTTAATTGTTTTGTGATACTGTTGTTTTTGGTTAAGGAAGCGTTGGCTCTTTTTTAACCAAAAAAGTAAATGTGCTCTCCATTGTATACTATTTTAAGCTGCTTTTTTCATATTCTTGAGGTTTATGGAGAATTCTTTGATTTTGAACTGACATTTCGGTTTTATCATCTATAAGAAAGATTTAAATAAAGTGACTTTGTTTCAACCAAGTTTCTAGCCGACACTTTGATTTTTAGATTGAAATATTTGTTTGGAGATGTTACAATGTTTAGGAAATGTGTGTGGATTATCTGAAACATAAAACAGGTTACATCTGAAGTAGCATAATCATATCAGGATGAACTGTAGGATAAGACAATCATGTTATTTTCTGATATGGACTCAGGGTTGTTGAGGTTTTTTGCCATGTACAACTGATATGCATAATATGTTATTACCTTTTGTCTAGCTCTCATGTTAATGAAATAGCAATCCAGAGAAGTGTCAAGAGGCTTCAACATGGCTTTTCATGTGGCGGGACTGATTGCTATCATTGTGTTCTACCTGGCTATCCTCTTTGTTGGAATATGGGCTGCATGGAAAACCAAAAACAGCGGTAGTGATGGAGATCGTAGGGAAGCTATTATAGTTGGCGGAAGAGATATTGGCTTGCTGGTTGGTGGATTTACCATGACGGGTATGTTCCTCTCTTTTTACCTGTTATTCAAGTGTCTACATCCTTCCTCTGACATGAATTTAAATGTACGCCGTGCAAAGACACAACTTCACGGTGCTGCTTAGCTGCCAGTAAAATTGCATGCCACATAAATAGTTCTGACAGGAAGGCTTCAACCAGTTGCTTCTGAGTAGTCACACTGAGAACTGTACTCTTGTGTGTTTTCTTTTCACCACTGGAAAATGCACCCCACTGGGCTTACTGAATAATGCAGTATGAACAGGTCGATATAACCATGATTTATAGAATATTCCCCCCTTGTTGTTTGTTATAAAAACTAGCTAATGAATGAGTCGCATCTCCTGTTACCTTCACAATATCCAACAGGAGCCAGAGCAGTTTATCAACGCGGCATGCATCATATGTATATAGCTTCTGAATATTGCAAGGAATAGGACAATAATGCTGCATATAGGGAAGGATCAAAATATCATGCAACAGATGCCATTGTAGGTGCACCAAGTTAAATCTAAACCAAACGTAGCCATCAACTACAGTAGCGCTTCACAAAGAATTTCACTGGGCCAGCCTTATTATAATTTAACCACATACTGTAATTTGGGATCTCACATGCTGATCTTCAAAGCAACTTAGGCAAGATATTTTCAGTTAAGCCAACGTAGCTAAGTAGTTCATGCAGTTCAATCTGGTACATGTTTACTCAGAAGTAAGTCTGACTCTGTGTCATGGGATTTAGTCCCAAGTGAGTCACATAGGATTGCAGCCTTCATGTTGCATAGATATCAGAAGAAAAGGATGGGTCAATATACACGTCTACTTTCCTATACACAATGTCAGGCCGCATTGACTCCATTATGACATCATCAGAGAGGGCAAAGGAGCCGAACGGTGAGTCATCATGCACCAAAATGTTTAAAATGTTTGTGGCTGGGCCTTCAGTTACAAGAATTGCCAAAGTGACATTTCAGATTGGTGCAAAATGGCATGAGATCTGAAATGTCCCCACTCTACTTGTTATAAAGGGCTTTGCTTCAGAAACAAGATAATTCATTCAAAAGAAAAACCATTTCAGTTCCAAATTTAATTATTCTTTCAGTGTTTTCTTCCCTTCTTTGTGCAGTCAATTTCAGGTTTACGATTAAACTTGTCCAGCACTAATTTGCAAATAAGTGCATGACTTTGTTGAACGAATGAGTTCCTGTTGATTTCATTGAAATTTTCATTCAAATACAGGCTAGGTTGGGGTTCAGATTTGTAACTGGGGAGGGGAAATAGGATATCAGTTAAAGCAAGAAAAAGTCTGCCTTCTTCCACCATTTTGATTAAAGAATTGGAGCCTTTATTCTCCTTTTACTTCAAGGTGTAATTATTGCTCATGATTTGAAAGGCTGCCTATTGTGAACAAAAATTCCAGAGTAGCGGCCACATTAGTCTGTGGAAGCAAAAACAAGGAGTCTTGAAGGCTAATCAATTTATTTTGGCATTAGCATTGATGAAGTGGAGAGTCACAAGACTCTTTGTCTAAAAGGTTAGATTCTGGAGCCATGCACCCGGGATCCCCAGCCTTTTTAGGTCCAGGGACACATTTTAAAATCTAAGAAACAGTTGTGAACACCACAAAATACCCGTTCACAGAAGAAAAAGTGGTGATACTTTGAAAAACAACACCTCAGATAGGCAAAACATACACACACATGCCTCACAAATGAAAGAAACACAGACCAGAAAAACAGACCATGCTTCCACAACTAAAAACCTCCCCTGGATAACTTAAATTTTTAAAAAAATTGGGAGGGAAGAGGACCTTGGTGTATGCCATGGGAATTTCTAAGGTTTCCAGGGTGTCTACAGCTGCCACATTAGAGACCCACTCATACACCATGTAAAGAAAAGAGAATATTTGGTAGGGTTATAATTCCCGATTCTGCTAGCATTTATACTTTTGCAGTGTAAGTAATTATGCACTGATTTTTAGTGTGCAAATTGTAAAATAGCATTCAGGGGGATGTTTGCTGATCTGTGTTTTGTCAGCCAGGAATAAAAGGTTCTAACATTTCAAAGGAAACTAGATGCAGTTCTGTCAACAGAACTGATTGCCAGCCGTGAAAATGATGAGAATTTTGCAGGCAGTTTCGTCAGGAGAAACACCAGCTGTCTACTGTGATTAGTGATGTTAATAAATATTTAGAAAGTGGCAAAATGTGTTCAATGATACCTATAAGACAAATAGGAATGCAAAACATCTAAATTTTAGAAAAGAATTCAAAGCTAAATGTGTCTGTTCGCAAAATGCAAACAAATCCTACTGGCAGGACTAAGAAGAAACAACATATTTAAACAGATATAGATGCAAGGAATAACAAAACACATTTAACTAGCACCGCATATATAATCGTTTTTCCTAGTATTAAAAAAAGAGTTAAAATCTCATCTCCAAAATAAATGAACTTCCTGAGTTTGGAATTGATTGCATTCCAATAAAATACAGATGCACACTTTTGTCTACAATTCGTCTACACATTTTGTCTACGCACCCAAGATAGTCAACAAGCTTGTTCTTAGATTGTTGTATTCTATTTGCCCCACAAGCCAGAAGCTGATCCACAATAGACCCCATGGACTGTAATCAATAACAATACAATCCTATGTGTTTACTCTGAAGTAAGTCTCACAGGGTTATATCCAACTAATATATTCAGAGTAGACCTTTGAAATGAATGCACCTAAAGTAGTCATGTCCTTTAATGTCAATGGGTAGGGCTCTGAGGAGGAGACTGGCATTGGAGACAACTCTCTGTGTTAAACGGGACTTAAAGAGGCCGAAGATTGCAGTCTGTTTCCTTCTCTCCTTAATTACATACCCTTTTGTGTTGCTACGTCTTTTCTTCCCTTTTGTTGACTGAATTTGTAACTTTATTTCAACATAAGATTCCCTAGTTTTAAAATATCCTGAGTTACGATTCCCAGGGGAGGGGAGGGACCGCCTTGATATTAAAATCAAAACTCTGCCATTTGTCGCCCTAGCAAATGCTCTTAAAACCAGATGAAAGACAGCTCCAGATTCAGATACCTTTTTCTATTTGCTAAGTTTATACCCCAAACACCAATTGCAGGTGTAAGAAATGAGCTCCTAAAGAAGGCTGGGGGGGGGGGGTTGGACATTTTTAAAAAAACTGTTTTGTTTTATGTTTGCTGAACTGGGCTTCTTGTGAGGAAGAATTGTAAATAACTACTACAACAATATACAATGAATCTCTATATGGCATAATGATAACAGCTGCATGCCTCTGGCAATATCTATCTGTAACGATAGGAGACAGACTGTGGCTTGTAGAAAACCTGGGCTCTATTCAGAGTCTCTGAGGTAAGCATGCAGTTCAGCACTGCTTAAGGGAGATGGAATAATCTTAGCGCATGGATTGTGGGAGGGATGAGTAAATTTGTCTGAAAGTGACTTGGGAGTCATTCGCACTGACAGGAATGTTTTTGGCAAAGTATTGAAATTGGCTGTAAAGCGGGTCTGGTATTTGATAATCCTACTGTTGAATAGATAACAATAAAGTCATGGGGTGAATTCTGAGGTTAGTCATACTCAGAGTGAAGACACTGAAATCAATCTACTCATGTAACAAATCCACTAATTTGAAGCTGTCTAATCTGAGTATTACTTAATAAGGCATCACCCTAGGTGATGGTGTTCTTTAGTGGATTTTAAAAAAACAACAACCCCCAAACACCTCAGATATGAACTGAATACTGATACAATGAAATCAACCTGAAGAGTCAGCAGTTCTGCGCTTTGGTAATTGGCAAAATCACTCAGCGGATCATGTCTGTGCTTCACATAATAAAGAAGATTAAGAACCTACCCATATATCTATCACACACACAAAAGATTTTTAGCGGCATTGACCATCTGTGCCATCCCATTGCATTTTCTTGACAGGCAACCATGCTAAGTACACAACAAGCTTCTCCACCATGACCACAAGCAGAGCAGATAGCAACATGAGTTTTGCTATTATTTGCCCCTTGCAACTCTTCCATTGTGGGGAGCATGTACGGAATTAGTGTTGGGATACATGCTTCACACAACCTCTGTTTATGTCTGTTATCCATCACTAAAGCACCAGAAACATGGTACTGGATGAATGCTTTATTGTATCCCTTTCAGTCTGTGGGGATTTTATCTCGCAGTGAGTCAGGAACTAGGTGGTGGTGTGCAGTCTGATGATAGACCAGCAATTGCCTTCAGCGAGATCACAGGAAGAATAGCTAGCCACATTATATTATGATGCTATACTACGTCAGGCTTTGCTTCTAGCTTACATCACTCTACACTCTGCTCTCAACTCTGGCTTTGTCTTTCTAACTACCCACAAGTTGGGGGAGGGCGCCCCACCCATTTGCCATCTCACACAGTTCCACTTCCTTTGTTCCCCCTAATGGCCCATCACCCAGGCAATCACCTCATCAGGAAGCTAGCCTGGCTATTCCAAGAACTAGAAGGAGACCCAGGCAAAGGATCTCAGCATACAGTCTACTCCTCCCCCACCAAACTCATAACAATAACATATCTGTTCTGTCTGTGAGCTGCCTATGAGCATTCAACATCCCCCACCCCTACCTCCATTTGATGGAGACGCCACTGAGAATCAACTCATTAGCTGCTCAGGAGAGAGCTACATCACAGATGCTGCCATTTCCTCTGTGTGTACAGGCAAAACATATGAGTAAAGCCAAAGCTTAATTCAGCCATGCATCTGAAATAAAATAGCAAATGACGTCAGGATTAACACATGGGTGGGTGTACTAGATTATTACAGTTTACTTCTCTCTCTCTCTCTCTCTCTCTCTTAGTTATCTCTAGTTCTGTAGAGTAGCTAAGGCTGCAGTACCAAGCCACTTACCTGCGAGTAAACCTTGCTGAATTCAATAGAACTGATGTCTTAGTAGATGTGGCTGAGTCTGTGCTGTAAATCTACTATGAATTCTTTAGCCGAGATGCGATTTTTCTTCCTCTCTACGATTCTGTGTTTGATGCACAAATAAAGGATGTTGTTTCTCTTTTTCCTGTCTATGACATGCTTTAACGCTTATCTCCATTTCTTCAGCCACCTGGGTTGGAGGTGGTTACATAAACGGGACAGCGGAGGCTGTGTATGTACCAGGCTATGGGCTGGCCTGGGCCCAGGCACCCATCGGATATGCACTTAGCCTTGTCGTAGGTAAGCCGGAGTTATGACCCAAGCCAATGTCAAGTTTAATTGAAACAGTATAGTTAAAGCTTAAGCTAAGATGAATTGTTTCACTGAGCCCACCAGCTAGAAGACTGACTGTCTCCTTGTTCCTCTTTTCATTAAGACATATTTCTGGGAAATGGGCAGGAGGGACTCAGCATTTGAGACATGACATGGGACCTATGTTTAACTGGCCTGCAGTAAGAGATGGGGCCTCTCCAGACATCAGTTTACTTGTGCATCCTTGATGATTTCCTGCTCATGATGTTATTGGGACAGTAAGACTCATTCCCACTTTTAACACTGTTTGGGGCAGTCACACTTCTTCAACCTGAATCAGTGCATAATCTCATAACTTCCTGCTGAAATCCTGTAACTTGTCATGCCACAAATGTTTTGGTTTATTTTTGACCGGTTTTTGTTGCACTATAAGACAGCAATAATGTGATAGCAAGACCCTTGCAATGTGTTCTTAAACAAGACTGCTGTTATATTGCAGGTATATTCTGCAACTTTGTTCTTGTCTTCTTTAAGAACACATTGTAAGGGTCTTGGAGAGGAAGGGAGCTTTAATGCAATTGTCATAGGTATTCTCTGCAATGTGTACTTTTTTTCAGTACACCTTTGTGATGATGAGTAAGGCTGCCAGCAACAAGAGCCAACCCCACGACCAGACTGCCATTTCTTTGGCAGTAATTAGTAATGGTGCATTGGACAGTTTATGATGGGTAGAGGGAAAGCCCTAGTCTGTGCTTAGACACCAGTTATGTTACTCACAAGCTTAGTAACGTAACAGCACATCAAAACTGCTAAGCACCATCATCATTATTTGGTTGCCTCCACCAAACTAAGGAATTCATGAGAATCCAAAATCTTTTCAATGCTTTCAGCACTTCACAAAGTTAACATTTTTGCTTGCATCCTGAGACAGAATGCAATTGGGCATAATCTGAATTTGAATGGTGCAATGATTTACTTCATTCAGGTCTGTATCAATGGCCCTTAAGGAAAGAACTGTTCCAGAGTCTTGAATATGAGAGGGATTTTCCTTCTTCTCATCTAGATGAAAAGTAATTTGTAGTCGATACATTCACTTCCCCCTGTGTGAACACAATGTTTTCTCTCAGAGACAAGAACAGGAATCATCTGCCTATGTATGGTTGTGAAATATGCCCATATGTTCAAGGTGGTACTTATAATCAAAAGCTCATGGTCCCCTTTGCTGAATCACCACCACTTACCAGAACGGAGGGGGGTGGGGCAAGGCAGTGGGGAGATGAGTGTGGTGCAAATGCACTGGCCTGGCTCCACCAGTCCATTTGCACCCCACTGACCTTCCTGCCAGTCCATCCCTTTCCCTCTCCTCCCAGCAGTGACTCAGCTGTCAGGAGGTCAGGTGAGCACTGCAACCCCAAGACACCACTACTGGTCCGCTGAATATCTGAGGTCTTCTATTAAATGGAAAAATATATTAAAATAGTGCAGAATCACAGATTTTGATTGATTACTGGAGACCAGGCATGTCTGAGATCACTTGCTATTATTCATGTCTATTGTCTTTCTCATGTTTGTTGCTTCAGGTGGCTTGTTTTTTGCAAAGCCCATGCGTTCCAAAGGCTATGTGACAATGTTGGACCCCTTTCAGCAAATTTATGGAAAACGAATGGGAGGGCTTATCTTCATACCTGCCCTAATGGGGGAAATGTTCTGGGCTGCAGCCATCTTTTCTGCATTAGGTAAGGAATACTATGTCATAGCATGGAGCCAAGAAATCCAACCAGTGGCTCCAGGACAACTATTGAAAAGCCATCAATAAAAATGCTAACAATCCATGTGGTATAGAGCGGTGGTCTTCAGCTTTGGGTCTCTAGATGTTGCTGGAATACAACTCCCTCATCCCTGATGTTTGGCTAAGCTGGCTGGGCACAATGGGAGCTGAAGTATAGTAATATCTGGAACTCAAGCCTGAAGTACACTGGCATAGAGAAATGTATAGCTAAACCCAAATGCTCACCATAAAATCATGTGACCCTAGCCATGTGGTGATACTTGTTTATCAGAAAACTGACTGCAAAAAAAAACAACATTATTATTTATAGTAACATTTGAGAAGATTCATCATGAAAGGCTTTAGCTATCCAACTTGTTTTAATATTAAAGAGATTACATTGCAATTGAAAATGCTCTTGTTGATTTTTAGCAATTCAGCCTTTGTTGTGAAGAGCTCAAAACACAGCAATGATATCTTTCATTACTAGTGTTTGGCTATTGTACTTTGATTACCATAGAAGATTTCATGGGAATTTTTAAAAAAAAAAATAATTCTGCTGCATGCAATGAACTGGGACTGATCAAATAATGTAGAATACATACAGTGGTACCTCGGTTTACAGAGACTTCGGGTTACAGACTCCACTAACTCGGAAATAGTACCTCAGGTTAAGAACTTTACCGCAGGATGAGAACAGAAATCATGCGGTGGCAGGTTAAGAACAGTTTCAGGTTAAGAACGGACCTCCGGAACGAATTAAGTTCATAACCAGAGGTACCACTGTATATCTTTTAATCTGAACTAATGATGTGCAATGCAATCCTATACAGATCTACTCAGAAATAAGGCCCAATGAGTTAAATAGAACTTACTACCAGATAAGTATGTGTAGGATTGCACCCTTAAAAATCTAGGATCCAGTTTGGTTGATAGAGGAGCTAGTGGCATGTCCCACATATGAAAGAGTTAACATGGGATATGACTACTACATACCTAAAGCATTGTCTGTGCACACATAAACCTGTGTATGTGCTATGTCTGCCTTTCGTATTTTGTATAAAGGGTGTGGGAGAGTGTGTTTTTATCATGTGTGTTTGCACTTCTCTAACATGTGAAAAATATCTTTTTTTCAACCGGTAGTAATGAAACTGCATGATGCTTTCCATTGAAACTTCATGTACAAAATTATTATCTAGAGTTTTTAGTATGAAATCGCTGAATTTCAGTCCCTGGTGGAATTTTGTATCTGAATGTTTTTCATTCTGTTGCAAGAACCAAGTTTGATAACTCTTCTAGCATGGGGGGAAACCCTTTAGATGAATTACTGTAAGTGACCTTTGCAACTTTTGCTACTTTAAAAAGCACACACACACACACACACACACACACACACACACACATCAGCTGCACATATAAAGTTGTTTGGTGTTGCACTCTTTTAAAAATAAAATAATCAGCCTTATTTCCAACTGTGCTCTGATTAGCTGGAAATCAATGGGGAACTTTTTAACCATAATTTTATTGCAAGTGCTCAAGAGTCTGAGAATAACTGCATGCTGAGGTGATGGAAGCTGAGTGGCTTAAACAACTTTCAGGGAATTTAAAACGTGTTCTTTTTATTAAAAAAAAAACCACACAGCTCAGCTCAAACTTAATAAAGGTTTTCTGTGGTTTCACAATGAGAAAGCGAGCACTGTGAATGCCTTTCAACCTGGTAGGCTCATAAAAGGGCAACTTGCAGACTAGGAACTAGGTGGAATTTATCAGTTATGAGCGTTAAGGCAACACAATGCATGGCTGAAATCAACTCCGAGATAGGACCTTGGAGAGCAACATTCTCAAGTATAAGTTGGCTGGTCCTTCCGATCCACTTAGTGCTGGTTCACTCATGCATGTGTGATCATGAACGCTCAGAAAGACAGATTTAACACCACAGATAGAACTGACAGATCACCTAAAATGCAACATTTTAAGTGGGGTCAGGTAACCCCACTATTCAGTGGCAAGCCATCAAGTGCATAGCAATTCAGTGCAGTGAAATTGAGCCATAGTGTGCATGACTGTATAGTGCTAAAGAAAGTGAACAGCAAGTTGTCATGTGAAGACTCTCCATCAAAGAGAGGCTATAGGAGGTGCAGCTGCCATATAACATTATTGAATGTCATAGGAAAAGATCTCTTCTGGGTGGCTAGACTTTTTAAAATTCTAAATCTAGTTATCAGATCACAACTCAAGAGATCCTGTGGGTGGGTGTTTAGGTTCTATTTCTGATGGAATGATCTCCCCTCTTCCCCCACCCCGAATGCACTGCTCTGAGAGCTGACGAGAGAGAGAGAGAGCGAGAGCGAGAGAGAGAGAGCGAGAGCACTGATGGAGGTGAGGAAAAGGGGGGAAAGCAGAGGGACTAACTCCCGCTAGCACAACTATTTAGTTTAATCTGGCCCAGACTTTTGACTTACAACCCCAAAGCAGATCAGAGCCTACCCCTCTAGGTATGCCTTTAGCATTTTATCTCAGAGACTGGAGCTGCCTTTAAAGTTTGAGTAAAATATGTCAGCATGCGTTGAACACTTTTGCCTCATAATGACTTTGTGCAAGTTTGGAGAGTTTTGTTGTCACAGAGCTCAGGGTTCGCCAGATCTTTCTTCTTCCTTTTTTTCTGTGTTTTCTTCTCACAACTCTACATGCAGGTGTCCCTCTTTCAAACAAGATGGTTTGTGGTGATAGTGCCTCGTGCAGTTCTCCTGCGTGGCCTACAGAATTTTCACACCAGCGCTGAATGCTTCAAATGATAGTCAGTGGAGACTTTGAAACACTCTGTCATGTGGAAGAGCAACTTGGCAGTGGTAGTTTTGAGAAAATACCATGTGGATATATTCTTAAGAAGCAACCACTTTTTTTTATTAAGAAATCATGTACCTCAGACTTCTGAAAAGACATAGTTGCAGAATGAACAAAATTGCAGAATGCACAAAAAGTATACATTTCCTACAAAAGATTAGACTATTTCTGAATCTGTCTTAAAAGATTCCAGCAAGCAATAGTGTTGCTTTAGAAACTGGGGAAAACTGAAACACATTGAAAAGGGCGTGCATTTCTAAAATAGGTTTGTTTTCCTCCCTTAACCCCAACCTCTGCTGCAGGTGCCACCATAAGTGTGATCATTGATGTCAATATCAATATATCAGTTGCTATTTCTGCCCTAGTTGCAACTTTGTACACACTGGTGGGTGGACTTTACTCAGTAGCCTATACTGATGTGGTCCAGCTGTTCTGCATTTTCTTTGGACTGGTAAGTTTCTGTATAATATTTATGTGTCTGAAACTATGGTTGTTTTGCAAGTGCTTTATTTAAGCCTGAATTGTGAGAAATGTGCTGCACAACACTGTGGGTGGGTGGAAGGAGGGAATAATGTTCTCATCAGTCAAACTGTACAGGTGTAATTATGATTATAGTATCTGTAGTATGTGCAGAAGGAACATGCCTTGTTCCTATGCAACGTTTATTATTATTATTAATAATAATAATAATTTTTATTTATACCCCGCCCTCCCCAGCCAAGGCCGGGCTCAGGGCAGCTAACAAGTGATAATAAAAACAAGTTGAATGAATACAACTTAAAAACAAGATTAAAATACAACAATTAAAATATTGAAACATTAAAATATTAAAATGCAGCCTCATCACAGGAGGAGAAAGGAAAAAGGAAAAAGAAAGAAAGAGGGAATCAAATTGGCTCCAAGCCAAAGGCCAGGCAGAACAACTCTGTCTTACAGGCCCTGCAGAAAGAAATCAGATCCTGCAGGGCCCTGGTCTCATGAGGCAGAGCGTTCCACCAGGCCGGAGGCAGAGTTGAAAAGGCCCTGGCTCTGGTTGAAGCTAATCTAACTTCCTTAGGGCCCGGGACCACTAGGGTACTACAGTTTTAACTGACTCCTATTGGTCAGGAAAGAACTAGAACCAAAGATGTTTTGTGCCCACCTCTTTACAACAACAGGATAACCTTACCCCAATAGCAAAGCTTCCACTTTGAATACTAGTACTGTTCCCACAGTGTTTTTCAAACTTGGGCCCTCAGCTGTTATTGAACTACAGCTCTCACCATCCCTGACCACTGGTCTTCCTAGCTAGGAATGATGGGAGTTGTAGTACAACAACTGCTGGAGTCTCAAGTTTGAGAAACACTGGACTCTTTGTGATTCCCCTGTGACCCTTAAAGCTGGACTACTATAATGACTTGTGTGTGTTGCAACCCATGATAAGTAGCGGTAGACACAATTGTCTTTTGACAAGAGTGATTACTAGACCACTGCTCTGTTCCTACACTGGATCCCTATTATGCTTCAGGCTCAAGTCATGAGGCTGGCTTTGACCTTATATATTTTTGACCATTTATATTTTACAGATATTATTTCCAAAATTAATCAGAGCAACATCTTAACTTTGTGCTTAATGCATGTGCGAAGGGTGCACAGAGAAATGTCCACATTCTTTCCCATTGGAAACTTAGCAGAATCAGAACCCAAGTATCTTCCAGAGATATTGCATTGCTGTTTGATTTTGGCTTGATGTTTTTTCAAAGGGGAGAATTATTATTTTTATTTTGTTCGGTCTATCATTTTTAAAGTTTGTTTAGTTCATTTTTAACTTGTGTATGTGTTTTGGCTGTAAAATACTGCATAGTGTGTCCTCACTCTTCAGAATATCCTACACAATACATGCACAGGTCTTTATCAGTCTCATTCAAGGTAGGACAGGTATTATACCTGCCCTATAAGCTCAGCTTAGAAAATATCCTGTCTGCAATATACTCATTTTATGTTTCCATTTGAATCTGTTGTTACCTATGTTCTGTGCCAAATTTTATTTCTAGTTGAAAGAAATCCTGGTACTCAGAAAAAGTAATGCCTGTATTTTTTTAGTTATAGAAATCTATATTTGGACCTGAATAACTGTTAAAAAGAAAAAGGGGAAAGAGGAAAATATTAATTAATCAAATATTGCTGCTATTTCTTCATTATTTCCTTAGTGCCCAATTTTGAATGATAGCTTCTCTTTTATTTTAGTGGATCAGTGTTCCGTTTGCCATGTCCCATCCTGCAGTGACAGATATTGGATACACAGCTGTACACACTGTCTTTCAAGAGCCTTGGCTTGGAAACATTAAAAAACCTGACATCTACAAGTGGATTGACAATTTCCTCTTATTGGTGAGCACTCCTGTGACAAACCATGGCCTGCCACTCACAGTCTTACTCTATGAACTCTACAGTTGCTAACCAACTAAGCAAGAGATGCTCAATAACTGCTTTTTAATTATCTAACCATACGTTGAAGCAAACCACACGCCACTTAACAATAATCATGCATTAATGTAGCAGCTTTGAAAAAGTGGACAGACACCTCTGTTGCAGGTGACTTAGGAAACTCTTATTATGATTGGATTGGCTGGATACTGAGGTACATTAGATGACTGAATCTGTAATTAAAGGGAGTGGGAAGGTGGGATATCAATAGTCAGGAGGAGGAATATGGTGGCACTTGATAGATTTTTTTAGAAGAAGAAGAAGAAGAAGAAGAAGAAGAAGAAGAAGAAGAAGGAGAAGAAGAAGAAGGTTGGGTTAGAGAATAAGTTAAAGAAGCTTAACAGTGATTAATGCAAAATGATTTCCAGTTCCAGTTTCCATAGCATCTTGTATGAAGGATTATTATTATTATTATTATTATTATTATTATTATTATTATTATACCCCACCCTCCCCAGCCAAGACCGGGCTCAGGGCGGCTAACAACCAATAATAAAAACAAGTTGATTAAAATAAAATTTAAAAAACAAGATTAAAATACAACATTAAAACATTAGGATGCAGCCTCTTCACAGGAAGAGAAAGGGAAAAGAAAGAGGGGGAGGGAATCAAACTGATTCTAAGCCAAAGACCAGGTGGAACAACTCTTGTCTTACAGGCCCTGCAGAAAGAAATCAGATCCTGCAGGGCCCTGGTCTCATGAGACAGAGCGGCAGTCCCGTAGGTACGAGGGTCCTAGGCCGTGAAGGGCTTTAAAGGTCAAAACCAGCACCTTAAATCTGACCCTGTACTCCACCGGGAGCCAGTGCAGCTAGAAAAGCACTGGGTGAATATGCTCCCATGGCAGAGACTCGTGAGGAGCCTCGCTGCAGCATTCAGCACCCGCTGGAGGATAGAATGGAAAAATAATGAGGGAGCAAGGAAAGTAGACTGGTAGATAATTTGAACAAGACTGGAAATGAGCAGGGTTTGGGGGGGGGGGGAATGCTGTGTTCGAGAAGAGAGCTTCAACACACCATAACAGGGTACACTATGTTTCTTGAGGCTTGCCACATCTCCCTTTTACAAGGGATCTCCTCTCTGGGATTACGCTTTGTTCAGAAAGAAGAGAGCACAGGTGTTCCTGATGTTAAAAGACTGAGGAGTTGACCTTTCCTGCTGTGTTTTTAGCAAGTGTAGGGTGCTGAAAATTTGCTTCAATGTTCTCCTCTGATACTGCTCTCTAGACACTTGGGCCAAGGAGCAACGGTACCTGAGCAAATCTAGCTTTATGGGAGCAGACACCCTCTTGCCTCAATTCCACATGTTGCCATCAGAAGAAAACCCTTCCAATATTTGTTTTTAAATACATTTTCGAGCTGAAGGTGCAGCTATTTCATGATTACAGGTTTAAATACTGGGTGAAATCGTTCTGAAGTCGTAAAAGAGTAGCTTGGCATGTATTCAAATGAACTCAAATGATCTTCTGTTAGCCCAGAAATGATGAAGGGTTTCCTTATTTTTCCTTGCAGACGTTAGGAGGAATCCCATGGCAAGCATATTTCCAGCGAGTTCTCTCTTCCTCTTCTGCTACATACGCACAAGTGTTATCCTTTCTGGCAGCTTTTGGATGTCTTGTGATGGCAGTGCCTGCCGTACTCATTGGTGCCATTGGCGCATCAACAGGTACACTGAGTGTCCAGATCGCCGTTACTTAAAGCAGTGGGTACGAAGGGAATGACCTTACTGCAGGGATGGCGAAGAAATCCAATTCAGTTCTCATTTAAAAGGAAATCCGTATAATTTGCACTTTCTGAAACAATATGCAAAATGAAACATAACTATCCATAGAAATTTGCACGTATCCCAATTTTGCAATACAGTATTCGGACAATGATCAGGACCACAGTGAGTGGTGAAAGGGATTAGCACTCTCCCTTCTGTTGAAGATGTTTTTTGACCCACCAGGGAAGCTGGTACTGGCATCAATAGCAGCTTCCTTTCTGGCACAAACAGCAGCTTTGTAGGTGAGGGGGGAATTTCCATCGGGACCATGACATGGAGGGAAAGGTCCTCTGCGCTGCAGTCTGGATTTGATTCCCCTTGAAGTTCCTTTTTTAAAGCACAGAGAGATGCATAGAACATTTATATTATCACACGTTAAATGTGTGGATGTCCCCAAGCTGAGCCACCTACCAAGCAAAGGCTGAATCGAGGTTTTCTAAGGGTCAAATTGTTTATTAAATGTGACCATACATGTAGCAACCAGTTTGAGCCTTAGAAAATCTGTATTCAGCACTTGCCCACACTTGGGGTGGGGATATGGGGATTGTTTGTTATATGTATTTTTAGAAACTGGAAAATAAAGTAGTATATATATATATGGGTATCTTGGGAAGTTTTTCTTCTCCCCATCCCATCCCAAAATCAGATAGATAGATAGATAGATAGATAGATAGATTATAAATATAGATAGATATGGACACACACACACACCCCATACTTGGAAATGCTACTCTTATAAAAGAAGGGTTAATGCAGAGGTAGATAACATCAGACTCAGGGCCAAGACATAGTCCTCTAGGCCGATTTATCTGGTCCTCAGTTGTTTCACTGCCTCATTGCTCCTGCCAAAGCAACACCTCTCCTTGCTTTTGCCTCACACCCTCCTTGAGAGTTTTTGCCTAGCTGGAAGGTGTCCTTGAACAGTGACAATGTGTTCTGCTTGTCTGGAAGGAGAGGTGAATTGGTGTAAAAACCTGAGTTTTAGGTGAGTGCGATGTAGCCTGTTGTCAAAGGTAAGAATCACATCCATCGATCCACCCAACTTTTGTCTCCGGCCACAACCACCGCTGGCAGTGGACACCCCGAAAAAGTTTCTCCAAAGTGAAATGCTCCAAATGGGGCTCCAAACGCTGCCCTCAGTGCAGAAGTCTAAGCTTCATTCGGGCTGATCTGGTCATAATATTCGTGTGCTTGCATTACAGATTGGAACCAGACAGAGTATGGTGATTCAGACCCCAAAGACAACTATGAAGCTGACATGATTTTACCCATCGTCCTCCAGTACCTTTGCCCAGTGTATATCTCCTTCTTTGGCCTCGGGGCAGTGTCTGCTGCTGTCATGTCATCTGCCGACTCTTCCATCTTATCGGCGAGTTCCATGTTTGCCCGGAACATCTACCAGCTTTCTTTTCGGCAAAGTGTAAGATTCACTATTGCAACCACAGTTTCGTTCTGCGATAGGATTAGCCATGCTGCCAATAGTGACTGGTGGCACAATGAACACAGAAAGAAAAACGAGCACTTAATTGTTTCTGAGCTGCACAAAATATAGAGATATGAGCAGGGCTTTCCCCCCCCCCCCAGCTTGAAGTCACTGGAACTTAGTTCCAGCACCTCTCAGGTGGGTGCCATTGCCATTCCAAGAGAATGTGGGAGGTGCTGATTGTGACCTCTTTTTCTAGAAAAATAGCCCTGGATATAAGGAACCTACAACTGTAGCTTCTGATGCCCTGAAACTCTGGGCTGTGTGCAAATGCCTTCCTGCTTCTACCCATAAGGAACAAGGGAAGGCAATTCAATGCCTTGAGCACACATTAAATTGGTACACAAAGAAGGCCGGATTTTCTTGGTAAACTCAGTGGTTGTATATTCTGAGCAATGATCCTCTGCCTCAGTTCAAGCTACCTGTTGAAGTTGATTCACAATCCTCCCCTGTCATTTTGCTGTGGCGCTGCACTGAGCTAAGTCATAGTTTGGCTTAGTGCGTCTTCCAAATCTGGGATCACTGTTTAGGTCTCTCCAGATTAACCTCAAGCTGCAACCAGTGTTTGTTCTATTGTATACAGCTCATGGTCTGTGATATTTCAAGACCTGTTCTTGACTTCAGTAATATTAAGTGCCATGTCCTACAACAGGATTTCCTCTCCAAAGCTCTGTAGTCATTGGAGATTTGAAGAGTGAACTTGATAAATATCAGAATCCTTTCAGGTCAGTTTGGTTATGGATGTCTAAGATTCAAGAGTTTCTTTTCCGCTAATCGCATTAAATCTATATAATTCTGTCCTTTATGGATATTCCTGTAAGAAAACTCACCGGTAGAAAACAATGTTTTGTTCCTTTCTTTTACAGGCGTCAGACAAAGAAATTGTCTGGGTCATGCGAATTACCATTTTTGTGTTTGGAGCAGCAGCAACAGCGATGGCCCTACTAGCTCAGTCGGTTTATGGGCTCTGGTACCTCAGCTCTGACCTGGTTTACATCATCATCTTCCCCCAGCTCTTGTGTGTCCTCTTCATCAAAGGAACCAACACCTACGGCGCCGTTGCAGGGTATCTGTTTGGTGTCATACTACGAATTACTGGGGGAGAACCGTATTTGCACTTGCAACCCTTGATTTTCTATCCTGGTTGGGATCAAGAACAGCAAATTCAGAGATTCCCTTTTAAAACATTAGCCATGCTTACCTCTTTCTTCACTAACATTGGAGTATCCTACCTGGCAAAATACTTATTTGAAAGCAGCACTTTGCCACCCAAATTTGACTTCTTGGATGCCGTTGTTGCGAAGCATAGTAAGGAGAACATGGACAAGGCCACTCTTGTGAAAAGTGACAATATTGTTTTAAACGAGTTGGCCCCTGTGAACCCTCGACACAGTTTGACTCTAAGCAGCACCTTCACAAACAAAGAGGCCTTCAGTGATATTGATTCAAGTCCCGATGTATCCGCAGCAGAAGATAATTGACAACGGCCCCACAGAGGAGAGAGATCGCTTTCACATCCCCCACAATGCAACAGGGTATGCAACAAAGGGAGATCAGAGGCGTTTTAGTTGAGGGAGAAAGAATGGACAGGGAACAAACAAACAAAAACCACTGCACAATCCTCTTCAGCTCATTTCTAGGAATAGTCTGTGGAATAAATTGTTGTGTTTTACGATAAAATGCGCTGGAATAGAATAAGTTGCTCTACTAGCATTTGAATGAAGCCAAGTAACTTAGTATTTGGGAGGGGAATGTTTGAAAATAAAAAGATTAAGTAACTTTTTTATTTTAAAATTACTTTTATTCAGGTACCTGAAAGAATCAACTATAGCCATAATGAATGTTCAGCATCTGGTTCGGAGGAAGTGTAATAAGCAATCCCTACTACAGATGAACAGAACCCCCATGCAATTCATTTGTTGCTTGGTTGTACCATTTCAGTGTGTAGGACAGTATTGAATGTTTCAATTAAACTTGGAAATGAACTGCGAATTGGAAGGGCAATTGGAGAGGCATCACTCCATTGAGTTTGGGTCCATCTGGTTTAATAATAATAATAATACTAATAATTTTATTATTTGTACCCCACCCATCTGATTGGTTTATTCAGCACCTCAACTGCTAGGCAGTCCTCCCCTGCCAATCCTCCATCCCAAGCAATGAAAACCTTAATTTTGCAAAGGGAACATGAGCAACCAACATCAGGGAGGGTTCACTACATAAGGGAGGAAACTTGTGGTGCTTCCTTCTAACTGAAACTGGTGCTAAGGAGTGTTGTTTCCCGCTGGGAATTAGGGAGTTTGTCATTTTCTCCCTTCAAATTGAATTGGGGGGCGGGGGACGATGACTAAAAATGCTATGCATCTCAGCCAGTATTTGCTGATCTTCATGGGTTTCAATTCATGAAGCAGAGAAAACTACAAATCCCATGATCCCCTGAGGAAAACTATATTTCTTGGCTGCTACTTCTAGCTAAAAGCACCCCTGACTATGGGCCATGATGGCTGAGGAATGGGAATACAGTGCAAGGCTTTGATCTCCTCTTGCCCTAGCCCACTGATATTCCATTTAGGAGAACAAAACTACATGGAGAGATCCATTCACAGATCTCTTACATAGCATATGATTTGATTCCGAGTAGATCCGATAATGGGATAATGAACTGTGCTAATTGTTTTGTTTCAAAATTAAATGATGCAAATTTCCATCCAAAAGTATTTCATTTTTATTAACATTTATTAATATCTCGGGAGTTCCAGATGTTCACTCTGAGAACTACTTCACCCTGCCCTTTATGAAATGGGGGGCGGGGGGAGGGGGCAAATAATGAATTGCTGTAAATGTGCTTTCCTGAGTGTCAAAGCAAAACTATGGATAAGTTGCGGCATTTTTAAGTAATCAGATTTTTTGCAGCTTGGTACATTTCTAGTGTAGCAGGTTCCCACATTTCTACCCAGGTTTATCATGGCTCAGCAATCAGGACTCATCTTCCTGTATCGCATCAGGGAGTATCTTAACAACAAGAAGAAAGTAGGAATGTTTTAACCCTATCACACAGTATTTCAAGTCAGGACAGCTGGCACAAGGTAGATGAGAAGGAAGCAATATTTTGCAGTGGTTTCCCTATGTTTTCTGTGAAGGCACCCTCACAACATTGATGGCCGAAGGTTCAGAGGGCCTCCCTAGTTGCATAGCCTTTCCTATGGCCATCTCTTAAAATGATTGTACGAGCATACACTGTTGCACAACAGGATGGCCTGTAGCACTTCACGGACAAAAACCTTGCCATAGCACTGTTCAGAGCACCACAAAAAGCTGGCAAATGATCTGTAATCATTCTGCTGTATGTGCCAGATGGGAAATCTTTGAGCCGATTGGCTGGGTGCACATTTTTGTCACCTGTATCCAGAGATATATAGAAAGAAATGTACAACCAAAGACTGAAAGGTGATTCTTGTGCTGAGTTTTTCAGGTGCTGGGAATTTCCAGGACTGGGAACTGGCCGCTCTTCCCTCTATGACCTTTTCATATCTTCACTCAAAACATTTAATGCATACACTGGCCTGACAGCAGAATCCACATCTGAAGTCAAGTCCATTCTGAGGGTCGGGTAGGCAACAATCTGCGTAGTCAGACAGTTCGGAGGACAGAGAATCCACAGGACCAAGGGTCCAGATGGAAAGCAGGAAGCAGCTAGGTAGGGCTGGGAACCCCAGGCTGCTGCTGAGAGCTACATTTAAGAATGATGGAGCCAGCTAGCTCTCACCAGTGCCATCTCTCCCATTTCCTCGATAGCTGATCAGCTGAAGGTGGAGTCACTCCGCCTTCTCCTCTTCAGGCTGCTGTTCAACAGGCAAAGCTGACTCCTGGACCAGGACAGGCCCAGTCCATGAAGGAAGGATTCCCGTAGGCTCAACAGAGACCTAGTTCCATCCCTGCGTTTGCACCTGCAGGCAGGGAGGAGGGGTGAGAAAGAGGGTCTCTTGCAGTTACAAAAATCCTCCATTTATGTGGGCACTGTGCCCGTATGGGACTGGATTACGCTCTTTCTTATTTTTATCCATTGTTTGTTCTTTCTGTACATGAGTGAGAGGGAGCCTCCCCGCCACAGCTTCAGATAACTAGCAATGGTTATTGAAACTGTATGTCTGTCGCACTGCAACAGCCCATTGATGTTACTGCAAAGAGCAACATGGCGCAAGGGCTCAGCCAAGTGGGTTTTTTTAGGGTAGGAAAGGCTCAGATATGGACAGGAGAGCCAAGCCCTGTAAAGCCCACAGAGTGGGTTCTCCATCACTCCATCCTGTGCCCATTGGAATGGGCACCCATTGGGTGACCAAGAACAGGTGGAACCAGAGGCAATAGCAGTCAGAGCCAGCTAATGCTAGTTTCATCCCCTTGCTGCGTTGAACAAGAGAAGCATTGAGACTTTGAGGGTGGAAGCTGATAGGCATGTCCCGGACTGGTTGGTTGAAAGAGGGGCAGGTGGAAGTTGCCTGGGGGCAAACTGAGGTTGGTGGGGCAGTGCCCCATTTGCCCAAACTGATCAAGTTTCACTGCTATTAACAGTGGCACAGCTTTGCACAAGCTAGAAGCTGCAGGACCTCTTTTTTCTGCAATGCTAAGAGAAGGGGATGGGACTAGGTTCTAAGCCTGTCCACAGATGAGCCCATGTCAACAGTACAATATTATTTAATCTCTTGTTGCCCTCAAGGGCTGGTGATAGATGTACATTACTAACCTTACAAGAGCCTCAAATGAATGTAAACGTTAACGGTGTTAATCATATACACAGCAACAATAAGATCTTAGCCTTTTATTTTCATAGAGTATGGCCATTTAATCTTTGAAATGTATCTAAAATATTTTAAATAGTAGAAAGAAAATGGTCAAGATCACCTGTCTACCCTTCAAGCTGATTTGACTGAGTAAAACGTGCAACTCATCAGTATATAATTGTAAGTCTGCTATTTAAACAGGGTAGTAATTGTGGCTATTATTTGTTAATAGATGTATATTTTTGTCTGTGTCAGAAATATATTAAAAATGGTTGGATCTAATAAGAACCATGCTGTAGATGTGTAAGTTTTCTCTCTGCATGTGCAATGTATTTCAATAGTGCCCAAGAGGTTCAGAGGGGAAATGTAAAATATTGTCTAGTTTTGGCTTTGTTTTTGTCCAGCTATTTAAAAAATATATACATTTATTTTATTATTAAGCAACGTGTGTTGTGTCTGACATATAACGAAACATTTTGCTCTTGAAATATCTGCAGAGTTTTAAAGAAAATAACACCTAGGATTCCTGGTCATTTATGGCTATCAGACAGATTTCTAGATAAAATGCCATTTTAGCTTCCCAACAACTCTGTGAGGTAATCTAGGATGTTTGTGAGAATGTAAGTCTGAGGCCAACAGTGAGGCTGGCTAAGTGTCTACAATTCAGTCTAATGTGGAAATAAAATTGTTTCCTATCTCTGCTTCCTGGCAAAGGTAAAAAAAAAGAAAGTGAACCAATGCAATGTATAAAGACTTCTTAAGCTAGAAAATACAGTTGTTTACTTTGACGAGCAGTTGGTAACACAACCAACACAGAAACAAGACATCTTCCCTTAGAGTTCATGAGGTTATCTTTTCATTCAATAACCATAAACCAACCTCACACTTCACCCTAATTTTGCCTCAGTGAATACAGATTCCTTTTTCTTTCCCTCACTAATTAGTAGAGACGTTACCTCTCTCATGGACGCCAAATATGTCAGAAGGAAGTAGGTAGCCTGCAGTTAAGGGGCTTGTTCTGTATTTTCAATTAAGGATCTCCACATTAATTTGAAATAATAGGCAGAGAAAGCATAGCAGCTTTGGCTAATACGCTGCCGTTCTCACCTGCCATGCATGCACCGTAATGAGGGAAATCAAGTCAGCAAGACTGACACAAGAGGACCACTGACATGAATAATGGAACTTGTAACAAGCTGTTCATGACAGCCAATGACTTTCTCTGGTCTTTGTCTCATGACTTTATCTCCTGTACATTCATGTTCTGCCCAATACTCACCCCAATTAGTATCTGTCCGATATAATATTCACTTCAGGAAAGGCTGAAAACTGGTATCAAGACTAGATTAAGATGGTAGAGATGGTGGGGTCCTGGGCTTAAGCTTGTGATGGAGCCTCATCAGGTCTGGGCCAAGATATTTTGCCGCCTGAGGCAAAAGCAATATGGTTTCCCCTCCCCATTCCACATATAGAATGCCACTGGACTGGCAGCTGGATCTTACTTCAACACCGGCAATGGGACTGCATTCTTCCACTGCACCTGAAGCACCAGGATAGTTTAGAGACCCAGACCAAGCTATGTGGCTTTCATATTCAACTGTCCTCCAATAGAGGTCAATGGCAGCTATCTCAGGAACTATAGCTAAGGAGCTACCACTGCTGCCTGAGGTGGGTACCACACTCCATAGAGTCAGGCCTGAACTTCACACATCTCTACTCTATAAGCCATGGTTTCGTAAAATTAACACACATAGTCCTCATGTCACACGTACACCAACACACAAACATGCCTTTTCTGCTGAGCTTTGTGAAGATTTGAATAGGCTGTGTGCAAAGTAATAGGCCTCCAGTTGGCATAGCTGTCAACGTTTCCCTTTTTTAAAGGGAAATTCCCTAATTCCGAATAGGATTCCTCGCAAGAAAAGGGCAAAGTTGACAGCTATGCCAGTTGGCCCCATCGTCCCTCAACATGTCATGGTGAGCTTCCTTGGGGAGAAGTGGCAGTGCTTCAAGAAGTGGTAAGCAGCTGAGGTACCACTCCGGCAGGAAGGTAAATGGTGTTTCCGTGCGCTGCTCTGGTTTGCCAGAAGCGGCTTAGTCATGCTGGCCACATGACCTGGAAGCTCCCTTGGCCAATAAAGCGAGATGAGCGCCGCAACCCCAGAGTCGGTCACGACTGGACCTAATGGTCAGGGCTCCCTTTACCTTTTACTATTCTAGGTTGCATCAACAGAAGGATATTGACAAGATGGAATATGTGTAGAGGATGGCAACCAAGATTATAAAGGGTCTGGAAACCTAGCCTTATGAGGAACAGTTGAAGGAGCTGGGTATGTTTAGCCAGGAAAAGAGGAGAGTTAGAGGGGAAATGATAGCCATCTTCAAATAGCTCAGGGGCAGTCATATGGGAAGATGGAGCAAGTTGTTTTCTCCTGCTCTGGAGGATAGGACCTGAGCCAATGGCTTCACGTTACAAGAAAGGAGCTTCTGACTAAAACTACTTTTTGACAGTAAGAGCTGTTTGACTCCCTCAGGAGGTGGTGGACTCTCCTTCATTGGAGGTTTTTAAGCAGAGGTAGAATCTGTCATGGATGCTTTAGCTGAAATTCTGCATTGCAGGGGGTTGGACTAAAAGAACCTCAGGGTCCTTTCCAACTCTCCAATTCTGTGATTCTATGAAATCCATAGCAAGGGGAGGGGGGTTGCAGCCCAGCTCGCTTTCAATTACAATATTTCTTTATTAAATGCCCTACAATGCAAACGCAATGTAAATTTGTCAGCGCAGCTCAGAGAGTAATGGCATGCCGGTTGCATTATGACAGAGGATGTCATAAAACCAATATTCAGAAAACACTCAAGTCAATACAGAAGACCTGACAGCTGAAGTCTAGCCTACAATATCAGGAGTCTGGTGAACGTGTATTTTTCCCGAGCGGCATAACGAAGATAAACAGGTGAGCCTGACTGCTTGATGAATTCCAGAGATGGTAGGGTTGATAAATAGCAGTTATCCAATTAGCAGAGGTAGGTACAGAGTGTAATTTGATATTGAAAAATTAAAGCCGATTTAGAAATACATTATTCTTGATCATACACTGAAACAGATGTATCTTACAGCATGGGGAGGCCTCTTCCACTCAGCTACACTTGGCAGAACGAGGCAACAGACATGGAGACCGTGGAGTATGGGGTCCACATTCCTTTGGTGCAATCTTTCAAGGGCCACATGCCAGAGGTGAAAGGTCGGAGACAAAAGTGGGTGGGGCAATTAATTTAAATTTTGCCTTTGTGCAAGATGCTAGTTTCTAGATGCACCCAAACAACTCTAAGCAAGAGAGTTCAAGGACCCAGATGTTCAGTGGGGCTTGTTCCATAGCCAGGTGACTGGGAATAGGACCGCAGCTCATAATATATTAGCAGTTCACTTACACCTTGTTTTTGTTTGCCAATAGATCTGCCTTTCCCAAATCACTACACATCATGTTTTAAATTATTATTTTGCAATTACAATACAAGCAGTTTAACTGGATGTAACATGACTTTGATTCAAGATGACGAGGTCATGCCAGGCTCTGACAATGGAACGTTTTAGTCTCAAACACTGATGCTGACATGAATCCAGCCCTGCTGTTTGACAGCATAAGGATGAATGGACTCTTCATGTACAAAACCATTCCATGGGGCTGGAGATCTCACACTAGAAGATAGGCAGGGGCTTGTCCTTAATAATCCCAAATGCTGGAAAACAATTTATCAGCAATTGACAAGAGAACACGTTTGACTGTTCATATTAGAGGCCAGAGCTATGAAGCCCCAAGGCAAGGTCTGACAACCAAACAATCCTCAAGAAAAAAATACAAAATAATAATAATAAGGAGGAGGAGGAGGTTTGGAAAATTATCCTAAAAGGCTCAAGAACACCCACCCCATTTCAACTTGAGATTTGACTGACTTCTCTCAGTCTCCTTCTTTCTGTTTACCTCCCCCCCCCCCTTATTTCTCTTTCTTCCTCTCCTGCAAGTAATAATCATAGTGCTGGTGGTGCAAGTCACTTTTGGTCAAGTTGATACCCAGTTACGGGTCACAAGTGACCACCCACCCAAGTGAGATTCAGCAGCTTAAAGAGCTTCAGATTAATTCATCACACAAACAGGCTCTCTACTGTTCCACTGTAGGCAGCTAAAAAGTCTGACACCATTCCCACAATGCTTTCACTTCCTCAAGTTAAAGTGGATGGCTTAAGGTCACTTTCCTTAAAGCCTTAAGCTTCTTATGCATTAGCAGTTGTTTTTTCGGTGTTTAAGAGATTGGGGAAGATTTTGCAGTTTAGTTGTTTCTTACAGAAATCAAGTGACTCCAAGCAAGGAAAATGAGGTATAAATCACAGCCATCAATTCTGATCCATTCGCAATCAAAGCTTCAAATGCAAGGTCAATGCTGAGAAGGACATGGAAGATTTTGCAGGATCTCCCTCCCAGTACATAAAAGCAACATTGACGCCTCAATAAATCATGTATTGTGTAACATGATTTCATTTTGGATATTATTTTCTACCCACTTTTACTGGGTTAATAATTGTTTTCCATGCAGTATCATATAGCATTTGTGGGGGGATGGCTAGTAATTGTGGGTTTAGATGTATTTGGGGTTTAGATGTTGCCCTGTTGTATTCCGTTACATTTGCATGTTCATTTTAAAGTGGGTGGGGTGATGTGAATTGCTTTTATTCACACTTAGATACACTGCGGGTGCATGGGGTGTTAGGGGAGGGGCGGTACCTCTGGTGGAAGACATGTCATGCTCCTTCTGGGGTAGTTAGTCCTTTGGTCTCCACCTTTGGTCTCCACCTTGCACTCAGTTCTCACTTGTGGCTCCTAGGAGCTGTCAGCATGCGACAGGGGCCACATCCTAGGAAATGGCTGTGATTGGCCAGCGAAACCAGGTGAAGGTAGCCAATGGGTCTCAAACCTTTGGTGAGTTAGGGACTTCCCCGAATCTGGATTGAGCAGATAAGACCAATAGTGGATTAAACAGTCGAGAAGACAGTTTCTGCACATGTCATAGAGGGAAATGAGGGGCAGATGAGGCTTGTCAACCTGAGAAGGTAGCCCATCTAAGAGAAGGAATTTGTGAGGGCTAGGTCCACCCAAAGTTGATGGGCATTGTCATTCAAATGGTGTGTGCATGCCACATCACATGATCAATTATAGGGGGGGGGGGCTTACCTAGATATTTTATTCAAGTTGGCATCCCTGGGCTGACTACACTTTTAGCTGGAGTCTTGCAGCAACTCCTTAACCAAACCTGCTAACCATTCTACGCACCTTCTCTAAACAAACACTCCTGTAAATATTGTTCTATT